ACGGGTGTGGTGAATGGGTGAAAAACATTCGATAATTAGAGCGCTGTGCAACAGAAAATCATGATTACGTATTCAACTTAATTGAATCGATATGATAATTGGGTCTTGTTTATGATTGCTCAAAAAACGTTGTCATGGTCGCCTCGCTGCTTACTCTCAATTTAACTTGATAAATTACTTGATAAACTATTATTTAGCATTACTCCTTTCAAGTTTAATGGGGATAATTGAAAATCTCAAGAAGTAGATGATTGATCCCCCTAAGACATCATTTCTATAGAAATAGTCAAGAATAACAAATGATTACTAATGTCTTGTAAAAGAAGAGAGTGTGTGCTATCTGTGTTTGAATAATGAAAGCAGCTATACGGTAGTTGCACGGGCGAATGCTATAAGATTGGAATAAACCGTCTGCTTTAAATTTTCCGAGATAGGGACACAAAATTTAATGCCCAGCACCCTTGCATCCCGGTTTTAAAGGTCTAAAATATGTTTTGTTTGCTGGGCATCTATGAAATATTGATGGTCATTTTCTGCCGCTGAAAACGATTGAAAGGTCAATATGATTATGATACTTATATAGTCAAGGCGGCAAGAGGTTGCAATGTCCAATTGTATTTTTCCAGTGTGTCTCGTCCCCCACCAAATTGAAGCGGTTGACGCCCATTGGAGGAGGCTGCACAATCAACATACAAGAGAGTCCTGGAAGAAAAGAGTGCAAAAACGTAATGCAAAAATGAAATAGAATTGATAAAAGCTTCTCATTAGATTCCATGATAAGAATAAAAAATACAGCTAACATTTTTTAAAGTGAACCGCGGTAACATTGTTAAAGGTTGATGACAAAACTGTATGAAATGCTACTTAATATATTTCTTCTGCTGTACTAACCCTCTAACATGCAAAAAATCCTGAAAAAAAATCAAACCACAAAGATATTTATGGTTTTCTTTGAAGGCGTCACTGTGCAACACCCTCTACCAATTTACCAGTAAGTTTTCCCAACATTTTTGAATTTTCCAACCGTTTTTCCATGAAAATAAAATATAAAACAGGCTTTTAAAAGGCTGTCAACACTTAAAGGTTTAGAGTGGTAAATAAAGCCATTTCATTGCTTTGTGACGATTAAATTCACCTAAAATTTAATTATATTATAATGATATAGTTGGGGGAATTATCGATCAGATAAGTTTTCCCCAATTGTTATTATTAATAATGGTTTGTACATCTAGCAATGAAGTCACTAACTTATCACCATTTTCTCTTGAACAATGTTCTCTGGTCCCTTTAAATAAAAAGTAAAGTTAGAGCTTCTAGCATACTTTCAATGCAAGTGATTCTGTTAATGTATCTCAATGTGACAACAAAAATACTGGAAACATTTTTAAATAGTAAGATGATTACCTACGATCACAATAAAGACAAAATATGTATGATTAAATGAATATATATTTTGGACATAATATTGTGAGTTTTTCCGAAGCTTTATTGATTTAAGACAACTTTGTAACCAGTTTGATGCCCTAACAATTATCTTCTGGCAAGGCAATCAAATAATCAAATAAAAAACATTTTAGCCTCACCTTCGATATGTTGACACAATCGGCACGGTGGTAAGACATAAGGTAGAGTCGCCAGCGTTAGCCCCCTTGTTTCAAAAGCTTAGCTGGGAAAAGATAAAAAAAAAGATCCATCGAAGCCATCGAAAGCATCACTTTCCAAAAGGGGATAAATGCCTCATCGTCGCTTAGAACCAAGAAGAGTATGGTGCAGCAAAATCATTCAAATTGACTATAAGTAGCGCAAAACCTAGTGCCTTTACCACTCTTGTTAAATTTAGCCAGAATCCGCTTTTTTTGGTAGCGCCATAAGTTTAGTTTGAGACAAGTGGCTTTCAAATTGTAACCGACCCCCTTTTCGTTTTTGTGTTTTTTGTTTTCGCTACTTCGCTAGGCTAATAGGTCTATTGTCGTGCGTTATTAGCGACGACCCATGTTAATCGATTTTATTTCATAAATATGGCAAAATTCTAGTGTCGAACTCGTGCGTAATTTCCCTTGAATTTGTTGTTCTGTCTGATTTTCAGCCTCCCCCCTCCCTCTCTTACCCCCTCTCTCTTTCTCTCTCTCTCTCTCTCTCTCTCTCTCTCTCTCTCTCCCTCTCTATCTCTCTCACTCTTCTTATATCATGCATTTATTGCAATGTTTTGTAACGATCGCCGAAACCATCTCTTTGTTCATGCTATTACATTTTCACCATTATCAACTCCGTAAGTATGGCCTACGATGTACAGTTCTATATTGATTTGCCCATTACATTTTCTTTTTCTATGAATGCCTTAGATACGCCTTCTCCTCTGGTTTTCTTCAGGACAGCAGGAAGCTATGTTTAATTTTGTATTAATGTGTTATCAACATATACCATGTTTATGTTAAGTATATGGGCTTCGAAACTTTCGTTGTATCTTTGAATTTTATTTGTGTTTTCAATTTTGGAAGCTTATTAGTTGTTCCAATGCATGTCTTTAAAATAGCGTTCCGCGGGGCGTGATAAATACTATTTCAGTTACAATGACAATAATTATCCGATCTCTTCTTCCCCCTTCTCTCTCTCTCTCTCTCTCTCTCTCTCTCTTTCTCTCTCTCTCTCTCTCTCTCTCTGACAAGTATGCCCATTATTGCTAAGCTCTATACGACGATTTGATCATGTTTAAATAACCCAAGGGTTGTAATAACTCCTTGGTAACGCTAGCAACCTCTGCGTCGACTCTGTTTTTACTTTTGCTGATGTTAGGGCCTACAGCTACATGTACACGATCCATTAAATCGCATTCCAAAGGCCTTGCCTGGCAAGGCCTTTGGAATGACATAATCGTTATTTCTATGACATAATCATATATGACATATGACATATCGTTATTTCTTCTTCTGCTCTCCTTCGTCTTCTTGTTCTTCCCTATCCTATCTCTTTCTCTTTTTGTTGTTTTTGGTCTCAGTTTTACCAATAAGAAAATATTGAGATTGTACAGGAAAAGCCTGCGAAAAGCCCGCGAAAGGGGGGTTCGGAAATGCTGGCAGTCCTCAGATAGGGGGTGCTTTCAAAAAGAGGGAACGAGCATACGCGTACCCTAAATAACACTGAGTGGGGGGGGGGGCGGGGCATTATTACTATTATTGTTATTACTATCATTATTACTACTATTATAATGATTATAATTATTGTCATCTGTTATCGTTCATTGCTGTACATAAAGACAATTTTGTAATATGCGCTATATAAGAATTGAACATTACTATTATTATTATTACATCATCATAATCATCCTCATCATTATCAATGAAGAGAACTATAGACTACATAAAATACACATTGCTAAATGGATAGACAACTACGAATTTAACTTAAGTAATGAAGAGTGGAAGAAAACAGGGGAAAAGGATAAGTAATAAACAAAAGGAGAGATTTTTTACATTTTCACCATTATCAACTCCGTAGAGTATGGCCTACGATTTACACTTCTAAATTGATTTGCCGATTACATTTTCTTTTTCTATGAATGCCTTAGATACGCCTTCTCCTCTGGTTTCCTTCAGGACAGCAGGAAGCTATGTTTAATTTTGTTTTCATGTGTTATCAATATGTACCATGTTTATCTTAAGTATATGGGCTTCGAAGCTTTCGTTGTATCTTTGAATTCCATTTTTTTTTAAATATTGGAAGCTAAGTTGTTCCAATGCATGTCTTTAAAAAAAGTGTTCCGCGGGGCGTGATAAATACCATTTCAGTTACAATGACAATTATCCGCTCTCTTCCTCCCCTCCCCCCCCCCCCCCCCTTCTCTCTCTCCCTCTCTCTCTCTCTCTCTCTCTCTCTCTCTCTCTATCTATCTATCTCTAGTCTCTCGATCTCTCTTCCTCTCTCTGACAAGTATGCCCATTATTGCAAAGCTCTATACGACAATTTGATCAGGCCTATACAGGGTAACGATAGCAACCTCAATGTTGATGTTTGTACTTTTGCCGATTTTGGCCTAGAGCTACATGTATCAGATCCATTTAAATCGCTTCAAAAAGACCTTGTCTGGCATTAATATATAACATAATTTTTATTTCATCTTCTTCTCTTCTTATTCTTCTCTTCTTTTTTTTTGTCTCAGTTTTATACCAATTAGAAAATATTGAGATTGTACAGGCGAGGTCATGGTTTAGCCATAAAGTCTCTTAATGTGGCTTCATGTTACATAACAGCCCTTTTTTGTTGCTGCTGCCGTTTTGCTGTGTTTTTTTTACTACTTTTATTATTATCATCATCATCATCACCATCATCAATATTATTACTTTATCATAATTATTATCACATGATCATTATTACAACTATAATTGTTATCGTTATCGTCATCATCATCATCGTCGTTATAATCATTATTATTAATGTTATCGTTATCATTGTTATCATGAATATTATCTCTTATAATGTTATCGTTCATAGTTGTTCATGCTGTTATTTTTTCCATCCCCATCATCATTATCCTTTTCATAATCAATGGCGAGAACCGATAGACTAAATAATACGGATTGCTAAATACAGAGACAACTTCGAATTTTCGAGGAATTAATTAAGTAATGAAGAGTGGAGAAAAAAAACATGGAAAAAGGATAAGGAATAGAAAAAAGGGGAAGAAGAAGGCCATATAAAACGAACAATCAAAATAGAAAGAAGGAAAAGGGAGAGTTGGGAACGAAAATGAAAGAAAGAAAGAAAAAAAATGAGCGGAAAGAAGAGAGGAAAAATTGAAGGAAACCGGGAAGGAAACACGATTTTTCTTCTTCTTCTCTTTCATCTTTATCTGTTTCTTTTTTCTTTTTCCTTTTCTTTTGTTTGGGGAATGGGGGGGGGGGGGAACAATAGTTGGATGGTGATCGCTTGCGTGCGTTTAAAATCTGCAAAAATGTCCAGGGAGGTATTCTCACATGCACATGTACAGCTAGCTAGCTACAGATGGCGCTTTTTTCAGTTTCCATGGAAGCACTAATCAAAGTGCGTTCACTGATTGATTGATGCTTGACGTTACTGAAGGTAATAAAATTCATTATTTTTATCATTAGATGTGTGTTTTTTAAACTTTATCAGTGTATTGTTATTTCGGCCGTTATTTCATGCTGTATATGTTTTTGCTTCGGTCTAATGCATGAATGTTGATGTTTGTTTTAGTTTTAAATCGGTCGGCCAAAAATTGGTCGACTGCGCCTGCAGCTGCACCATGAAGCCCATCCCCACATAATGGTATTTGTGTTAGCTCTTTCGTGACATCAACAACGATTGTAGACTCCAGATTCTTCTTCTTCTTCTTCTTCTTCGCTATAAGTACAGGCCACCGTCGGGTGTATTCTCGTACTGATTGTAGGTGCTGTGCAGGTGTATATATACATGTAGTGTCTCAGTAAAAGGTCTACAATGAGCTATGTGCAGTTAAAAAGACATCCGTAGCTTAACGGAGCTGGACTCATACTAGACCGAAAGCTTCAGTCTCTATAATCGTCGGTTGTTCCACTGAGACTACGTCTGGCTCCACTAGACCTCCGGTTATAGAGACTGAACGACTGCCTATGCCAGCCTGTGTTGAACTTATTCCGCTAGATTTTAGCCGCTAGGCCCCTCCCACAAACTTGCCACGGCCGTATTGTTATGCCCCCAAAATCCCCCAAAATGTCATTTTACCTCGTTCATTTCCAATTTTAAATTAGGCCTAGGCTATAATACATCGGTTCCACTTACTAACTTCATTGATATAATCCGTTTAATGGTCCCTTTTAAGGAAATTATCGGTCAAAATCGACATCCATGTTGAAAATCTTGCAAGCCGTGTTTAACTCTCGCTGCCGTCAATCTCATCCCTTCTAGTCTACGCCGAAGGCAAAATGATTATGAAGGAAAAACTGTGCGCCATCTACACGTTCGTAATGGCGTTATCACAGTTATCAAATGAGTATTTGATATCAAAATGTTCAGAAAAATGTGGGCTTTCCAGGAAACACAAAGACTTAACTCCACCCAACACCCCAGTAGAGTCAATGGCTAGTGAAACATAGACTTCACTCCTTAAGGCCCAAGTGCTCAGTGACACATAAACCACTTTTTCTCAAAATGGCCAAAATGGAGTTAGGTCATTGTGTCACTGACCCCTCGAAACTTTGTTTCATTAATATCTTTTTCTCTATCTTCATCCCCATCTCATAAATTTAGGATCGGTACTAGTTGTGAATCAGGAAGATTTCATGTCCAGCATCCAAGAGCAGCCTCTCTAGACTCTACCCACCATGAGTTCCTCTGCCGATAATGGCCAAGCCAGGAACAGCAAGAAGAAAAAAAAGAAAGGGAAGGTGGGGAAAGTCTTCCCCATGCACCCCGTCATCATCCAAACAGGAAGTGACCAGGAGGAGCTCCTCAAGAGGTCGGGGAAAGGTCATAAAGACCTGCTGGAGACGACCCACAAGAGGAATTCGGCAGCCAATGTCATCACCAATTACCAGATGGTGAAGAAAGGGGTGGATAAGTTTAAGAACTTGAAATGTGGGAGGAGGTCTAGGAATGGTGGATCTACGGGTATGTTACATTCAAATGTTTTCCTCAATTATATTCTTCCATGTAGTAGCCATTGCAATCTCACTCTTTCTTAAATTATTATGCTGTGTATTTTATAGTCTGCTTGCTTGTTTTATCTACAGTCTTATATGCATTGTTCCAGTTGCAGCCAATATTTTGTATATTTTATTTTAATAATATTTTATTATTTTCTTCATGTAAAATATTGCCTAGTAAAAAAGTGCTTGAGCCATACATGACTTCCCTGTTTTGCTAAAAGGCGGATGAATAAAATTATTTTGTGTAGCTCCCTCTATACCAAAACTCCACTATCACTTTAAATATAAATTTGGTTACATTACTAAAAAACTGCATGGCTAGAGAAGTGTGCATTGAATGGTTCAGCACATGTAAAATCATGCTGATCAGATATGCTTTTGCCAAATCAAATGTCCTAGATTTGTTCTGTCTGTTTGATGATACATATGTAATTGTTTAATGTTGAGTGCATTTATTCTGCCTTTATATTTGAATACAGGTCTGAGAGAAGATGGTAGGTTATTGTCATTTTCACTTGAAGAGGATGGAACTATGAGCTTGCTTTATATTATAACGATCCTGATTTCTGTAGCCTAATTCTTTAGCAAAGTGTTCTTAGACCTAAATCGTTCTGTAGCTTCTACATCTTTTAATTTTGAACAAAGCAACTTTCTAAATGCTGTGTATGATTTGTTTTTCTCTTTTTGTTCATGCTCCCCTTCTTGAAATTATTTTATCCCCTACTTCCTCCCTACCCCTATGCAAATATCACAATGTAAGTATCTATCGCAAAATTCTTTTTAAGACTCACTTATTTGGTGTGAATTTCAGTTTTTATTAATTTTCATATTCATTAAATGCCTTTTTCCAACAGAGGTTTTTTGCACTCTTGTTTAAGGTTCATGGAAAGCATGGTGCACTAATTTACAGTTGTGTTCAGAGTCATTGTAAAGTAAACATAGGATTTTCATCTTTGAATCGGTGGTGGTTCAAGGGCAATTCAACCCTAACAAACAACTCTAAAAAAAAGCAGAACAATCAGAGAAGTAGACCGATGATAGTTTGAACAAATTGGATAAAAAATAAGAAAAGCTATGAATTTTTTGAAAGTTGTGATCACTTTACATATGAAAATTTCAAATTAGTTGAATCTGTAATGTCACTGTGATGTAATGCCAGGCAACTTTCACATTTGTTCCAACACACAAAATGACTAAAATGAGAGCATATTTTGTTTGTAGAGATTAGAGAACCTTTCCATATTACTTGGGAGAAAAAGATAAATTAATGATACTTTTGTACATAACAAATAGAATACATGTAGTTGTCCTGGAGTACATCATGATTCACTGAAAAAAATGATCTCATGACATATTTCAAACATTCTTATGTTTGGTCCGATTTGTATTTTGTTTCAAACATTCACCATTCTGTTTTTCTTATTTTTCTTCCTTCATACACCTGGGGTGGGTTGCTCTTTAACGTAGTTATTTCAGAATAGAGTTGCACAAAATGGATTTATTTTCATATATTCCTGCATATTCTTTCCATATTCATTTTCATGTTTCCCATCATTACTGGTAACATTTGAAATGCAGGAAAGCACTCACCATAAGGTCCCTTTATTCAAGAACAGCAGAAACTCAGCAGACCTTCATAAAGGCAAAAAAAAAAAAAAAAAAAAAAAAAAAAAATCAAATCCAAAATATAGATGTACAATGAAACATTTTGCAGTAGTTAATATTCTTGTGCTTCCTCTGAATAGTTAACAAATGATACAAATGATAATTGATATCTTTTATCACAGTGTAGGAAATAAATTTGTTTCTATTGATATTCATTGATAAATAATTATGCTAGCAGAAATCTTAATTTAGACGGTATTAGATTGAAGATCCAGATTTTATTTAAAAAACAAAAATCGCTTGATATTGACTATTTTTATTTTCTTAATATTATTATATGCTCAAAACAGAGTATTTTTCATTTTGTAATGAAATAGGCGGAAAAATAACATGTTTTATGGAACACATTGCATGGAAACATCCTATAGAGGGTCATGATAAGAAAATAAAATATTTTGTTAAAGTTCATATTTCTGTGGTGAGGTTCGGAAAATAACTAACACTGGTGATTGGTTCATTATTTATTTATTTTTGCCAGGTTATTTTTTCACCTGATAAGCTTCACATATTTAGCACGTTTTTGTTTCTTATCATTTCAATTTTCGACCCTCATCTTTTTGAGTGATACATTTGAAATTTAACCTTTAATGAATTTTCTGCACAAATCTGTTGATTGGGTTATAGACCGAGTTAAAGAACTAAAACTGTTGCATGGACTTACTGTAATATCTTATTTCATTTCTTTTTACAATCATATACTAACAACTAAATTCTTTGTGTGAGAAAATTTGTTTCAATTTTATTTACCATTTAACACTGCATGCCTCTTGGCTAGTGCTTCCAAAAATAGTGAGGGAAATTTTTACTTCATTTAAAAAAATATATATTAAAAAAAATATTTAAAAAATCATCTTTATGATGCAGTCTGATACTTGAGTGAAAAACACAATGTATGCTACATTTCAATGTTTGTGATGAAAGGCCGATGACTCTCAGCAAGGAAATTCTTATTGTGATTTAACCTGTATTTGAAACATATAATAACATTTTATTTTATTTAACAATCTAATCCTTTCTTTATTAATTGCATATTATAAGGCTTTATCCTGAATTGAAGATTTACTAAACTGTTATTTAGGCAGCGGGGTGGCCAAGCCAATATTTATTTTTATTTTTAGAGCTATATTGCTTCTTGATGTCTTTATTACATGTTCATAAGAGAAGACTCCATCAAAATGCTTACATATCTTAAATAAAAACTTGTTCTTGGAAGGAGCAGTAACTATTGTAAATAAACGAACTTTTTCAAAAGCGAACAGCCTGCATTAATATACAAATAATACAAAGCAGTGAGGGCATTAGTAAAAAAATTATCCACACGAGGTACCTTTGGAACAGTCTAACTTGGACTATTTTAAAGGTACAGAATGTGGGTAATTTTACTAATCCCCAAACAAAATGATTTGTATTATTTGTTTTATAGAATATTGTTTTGTTTGTTTTATTAAATGATGTTTTATATGATGATGATGTCATTTTCAAAATTACGCATTAGGCAAAATAAATGCCTGGTCACGTGTACGCTCTCAACCAATCATTTGATTAGGATCCACATCATCATCTTATAAACCTCTTTATTCATCGATCAAGGTAATCAAACCTATGCAAATTTCTTTTGAGTACCATTAATTTCCATACCCTTCCTTCCTTTCTACACCTGTAGCTAAAAAATACACTTTAGTCCGGGGCATCGATGCCAGCATTTCACCGGACCCCCTCAGTGCCAACGTGGCCAACGCAGAGTTGATTGGCTACTTCGGACACCTTGCGACATCGACGGACCCTAACATATCGATAGATTTGGAATACTTGGAACTGATTCTGAGCAGAGGAGCTGATATTAACTGTACAGACAAGTATGGTCAGACAGCACTCCATGAGGTATGTTATCAGAGTTGTTAAAGACCATATCCGAACTGAAAAATGAAATGGATGATCTATATATCAACAGAAAACTTATAAGCCGTAGATTACAATAATATCAATTACTAGAATTGCCATTTTAGTGTCCGTCAGAAAAGTATCAGCTCTCTGAAAACTAAAAATCTCAAGCCTTAAAAAATTGGAAGTTGTCAACTTAAAAACTTGCTTTCGACTTGATGACATCATCATATGTGGAGTATATACGCATATTCACAATGACTTTGCATTAATTAAGCATGGCTCATCACCTCGGCTATATAGGAGAACCGATCAGGTTCACATGTTATGCATGTCATCACTGTAACTTCACCAAATTTGACCCCAGTTGACCCATAATTTGGAGGGGTGTGGAAAATTAGGTTTTTAATTTGCCTTTGTGCAATAATGAAAGGGTAAATACTCTTTATTCCTTTATATTTGTTTTCTACAATTATTCAGTTTTTCATTTATATCAAGTTTAATTTTCATCAAATATAGGGTCTTTTATATTAATGAAGATTGTGTAAAGGTGTTGTGGTTTAGAGGCTCATTCACTGGACTCTCAATTTAAGGGTTGAGGGTTTGAATCTCAGTCCAGCAATCATGTCTTTCCTCAAGACATTAAATGATCATTTGCCACTCTCCACCGAGTGTTTAATGGGTACCTTGCCGGATTTATTCCTTGAAATGTACTATGCGCTGATTACGACTGCCATGCTAAATCACTGTGGAGCGCCAGGAGTGTGAAGTTTGACAGACATGAGCGTTATACAAGAACCCACTATTATTATAACATGTATGCTTCTGCCAAGTTCAATAATTGAATATAGACAGAGTCAATTACCTGTAACATCAATCAATCACCTTGAGTGAAATAGACTCTTGGAGGTGGTTCGATCATTGCTCTAAATCATATTACAACTTTCAGCACCAAAGAAGTGTTTGAGTCAATGATCGTCCAGAAAAGACTTCAACTACACTGAAGTGAAATACATTTCATGACACCTGTGATTAATGTGCTTTTATTAATTTCTTTTATAACAGAGCTGATTTTGAATTGTCCAGGGGAGTGTTTAAGACTAAGATTGACTTGAATTTGGACGGGCCATTCATGCCACTATTTTCTCTCCTCATTCACTTGCATTAGTTTCTCAAGGGACATACTAATCATTATCACGAATCTACAGAATTTACATTTGTTGATAGTTCATTATTAAAGGAAAAAATATTGTCTAAAGATAATGATGAGAGCAAACACTACGTGGCATGAACGGCCTGCCATAGTTAAAGATGAAGTTGAGTTCTGGTCATGCGATTGCATTGTGAAAGAAACAGTGTGGAATCACTAGAATTAGAAAATTACAAATTATTTTTCACCTCTTCCCAGAACTCAACCTTCTCTTTAAGTCCAACTTAAAGTCGATCTCAGTCTTTGTGAAACATCCCCATGAACACATTTAGAGATGTCTTGAGGTAAAGTTCTATCCCTCCTGAATGTCATAATTGATCATATTATCCTTTCATAGATTTCTAGAACGTGGGATCCAGACGTTGCGGTTTTCATGATTGAGAGAGGGAGCAACGTAAACCAGGCTGACCTGTATGGTAGGACTCCTCTTCACGTTGCTGCTGCCGTGGACTTCCCTGAAATGATCAAAGTTCTGCTCGAAAATGGAGGTACGTGTTATGCCTAATGTCAGTTAATTGCTCCCATTGTCTTTCTCAGAGTGATAGAATGGATTGAAGCATAATGGTATAGGAATATTTTGAAGTAGGAAAGAACCTCAATGGATCGTGTGCAAGGCTATATGTAATAGACCAGTTCATGGATAGCACATGTTCCAAATGACCCCAAATATCCACTGATCTTCAAAACATGAAGAGGGCCCACTCTGTACATTTTGAAATAATCACTCCTACAGCGATGGAGGTGCTACATAAATAACATTTGTTTCCCCTTTTCAGAGAATACTTCCACCTGTGTATTATAGAGTGCTGTGTATAAACAAAAATGAAGTGTAACTCTTGGAGATTGTGCTTTCAGTTGGGTCACTCCAGAGCTTTGGAATAACCTACCACTAGACTTAGACATAAGAAAAGCCTCATCTGTTTTGTTGAAGATGCATCTGTTTGGGGAAGCTTTTGATTATATTTTTTTAATTGTTTGTCTGTAATGAAACACTGTTGGTAGCTTTGTTTTCACCACAGCCTGCAGTAGACTACATGTATATTTATATAGTAGCTGCGCTTATATATAAATTGATCTAATTATTATTGTTATTATAGCATACATTGAAAGCCTGACGGAAAAGGAGATGCAGTCCCCCCTCCACTACGCAGCACGGAATGACGCCTGTGAGAGCTTGAGACTACTCCTCAAGAAAGGGGCACAGCTCCACATCCGAGATTACAAAGGGAGAACACCTCTCCTGCTTGCCGCAGAGTTAGGTATGTAACGAAAATAACATCCAATACGTGTTGAATCGACTTTCTTGATTGCAATCACAAAAGTAATAGTCTGATTTTCAGACCCTTGTACCGAATGGTCGTACATTGTGTGCTGCACAAAGATTCAATGAGTTTAATTTTGGCCATTACAAGTAGTGGGTTATTGATGTAGACAAAATGCTCATGTTACAACTCATTTTATGTATGTTATTACCAAAGAAAAAAAGATGTCAATCAGTCACTCAATAGTGTCCGATAGTGAAGTCTAGAAGGTAAACGGGTTTCCTTGCATCATTTGAATACTAGAACCCTGCTAATGTTTAAATTTCACAGATATTACTGCAAAGTTCTACTGAATTTGAAGTTGGCTACAAAAGGGACATAGTATCTTTAAAGTAAAGTGCCTTACCCCAAATGTTGATGGTACGACCTCATTGTTTGTTATTAGCCCAATATTTTGGAGATTGTTAGGATTTTTAGAATATTCTTATTGTGCATAAAAGATGTATGTAAATCAATTTGAACAGAATACCTCTGAGGGAGGTGTCTCGACTTAGACACCGAGACTGTCAGACAGGTTATTTGTATGTGTCACAGGACTTATTTCTAATTGTCCAAACCATCTCGATTGGTGGGTTTCACCTGACTGCTAAGAAAGCATTTTATGTATAAGCAACCAGGGGACCAACGGCTTAAAGTCTTCTCTGAGGGACTTGGTAATGAGGATTTATGCCTTACCAAAGGGCACTAAAGCGCAACAAATTGGTTTCGAACCCGTGATCTCCCGGTTACGAGACCACTGCTCTACCACTGAGCCATCGCGCCTCATGCAAATTGAAATTTGAAATGAAATTTTTTAGCACAACAAATCACTTTGGTTGTGATTGACACCCTCCAAATATATACACCGTCTCGTAATCTTCGCTCAGCAACCCACACATGAAAACTTATCATTCCCAAATCTATACTCGTTTTGCAGTAGCCGCATCCAAGACTTGGAACAGCATCTTTCGATAAGGGAAATTACCTTGTCTTGTCCCTTCAAAAGATCCCTCAAAACTTACCTTTTCCCCAGTGATCTACTCTGTCCTCTTTTCATATATTTGTATTTGTAAGCGCTATGGTACTTATTATTTTTAGCGCTCCTAAATATTCGATATTATATCATCTCTTCAGATCGAAGCGAGACTTCTAACGTCTTATTAGAGATGGGGGCCAGATCGTATGATGTTGACCGTACGGGACACACAGCACTCCAAGTCATGGTCACCAAAATGCCAGCTGTGGTAAGTTCATTTCGTTGTGCAAAGGTACACTTCAAGTTCAAGTTTTATTTCCACATCTGATTAAAAAAAACACAAGTACAATTTGTATGCATATATATACAACAATAAATGTTAAAAGGAAACATCTTCAATTGAAATCATAATGTGGTGGGAAAAACAGAGGCCAATGGCCTATCAAGGTTATTCCCAAATGTAATAACATTTACATGGAGACACTCCATGTATTTTTATTCTGTTCTTCTCCTCCTCCTCTATCTCCTTCTTCTTCTTCTTCTTCTTCTTCTTCTTCTTCTTCTTCTTCTTCTTCTTCTTCCTCTTCTTCTTCTTCTTCTTCTTCTTCTTCTTCTTCTTCTTCTTCTTCTACTTCTTCTTCTTCTTCTTCTCCTTCTTCCTCTTCTTCTTCTTCTTCTTCTTCTTCTTCTTCTTCTTCTTCTTCTTCTTCTTCTTCTTCTTCCTTCTCTTCTTCTTCTTCTCCTTCTTCTCTTCTTCTTCTTCTTCTTCCTTCTCTTCTTCTTCTCCTTCTTCCTCTTCTTCTTCTTCTCCTTCTCCTTCTTCTTCTTCTTCTTCTTCTCCTTCTCCTTCTCCTTCTCCTTCCCCTTCCCCTTCTCCTTCTTCTTCCCCTTCTCCTTCTTCTCCTTCTCCTTCTCCTTCTCCTTCTCCTTCTCCTTCTCCTTCTCCTTCTCCTTCTCCTTCTTCTACTTCTACTTCTAGTCTTTAACGCTACAACCTCACTCACATGACAGGAAATTATGAATAAAGAAATAACAGTGATTTCTTTCAGACATTTTTATAGTTGAGTACTATTTTGTAACAAGTAAATTTTGTTCCGTTTTCTCCCAAACCCCACTAGGCCAAGGAAGGCCTCAATCAGCTGTACCGATGTGATAGAGCCAATCGTAAGCAGTACTATGATCTCCATCTCCTAGAACCGCTACCTCTGGATTCAGGGATAGAGGTCCCTGCACGCACTGTGGTAAGCAATATTTTAAAGAGACTTTCATCAGGATGGTTGTAATACTGGTTCGAAACTAATATATTACATCCAAAAGTCAAAATTAACAATAACCGTTTCGATATCTAGAGTTAAGAAATAAATGAATTTGATTTTGGCTAGAAAAGTACTAAATACCTCAAGTTAAAACTTTGTAAAATATTAATATTTCTGATTTAAGTTTTGAATTGAATAACCCCCAAGGTCTTGACCACAATTTCGGATTACATGACAGATATGTTGATATAAACTCTTTGAATGCCACAAAAGAAAATCTTTCTGTGCCACCTTGCATTTATCTTTGGACAAAAATATCAAATTCTTCAAGATTATTTAATTGTTCCAAGTGCGAGATTTATCTATACCATTGGGTCAAGGGTTGTAATAGAGTTTAATAACCAGACCCGAAACTGGGTAATTTTGCAAAGTAACCGTGTCGCACAATGCTATCCTTCCGCCTACTGTTTTGTGCAGAATTGCATGTGTGGTAAACAAGCTACTGTACAGAGGGGCAAAGAAAGCAATCGAAGTGTTCATACATATATTGTACATCTTCAATGGATCGATTCTTTGTTTTTTAATACAGCTTCAGAGCATAGTCCTTTACAACCAGCTGGAGCTCATTATGCATCCGGTGTGTCGTCAGCTCGTAGAGGCCAAATGGGAGAAATTTGGAAGGTCAGTACGAATTTCTTGCTTGCTATGTTTCCTTTCATCTCCCTCTCTGTTTTAGAATCCTTTGTATGATTCTGAAGTGCATTTTTTTCTGTTCTGCTAAAAGTTGTTTTTGTATTGGTGACTTGAAATGCTTCATTATTTCTTTGAACATGATTGATGTATAGATTGGGAGTCATAAAACCTTCACCTCCCTCTCTGTTTTAGGAGCCATTAGACACATTTATGTTGCAAATACCCCCATATAAAACCAAAGTAACCCTCGGGGACCGGTCATTTCTCTGTGCTGCCCCTAGATTATGGAATAAATTACCACTAGAAATAAGGAAAGCCCCATCACTAGATAATTTTAAATCAAAACTGAAAACTCACTTGTTCATATAGTATGTATAGCACAGCATTTACGAGCTCTTGCAGCGCAATAGAATATATCCACATAGTTATTGCGCTTTACAAATGAATATTATTATTATTATTAGGAGGCGTGACTTGAAATGCTTCATCATTTCTTTGAGCGTGATTGATGTATAGAATCATGGAAGATACAAAACTTTCATCTCCTCTCTATTTTATGAGCCTTTGTACGACTCTTGAGCAATTTTCCTTGGTCAAGTCTGTTCTTATAACCTGTATAGAAAGTCTATTTTTCCTGCTTATTCTTTTTCTTATAGTGATAACCTGTATGTAAATTCTGTTTCTTTGGAATTATATTCTTTTAATCTCAGTGAATGATATTTCAGCATAAATTTCACAGCATTTTGCTCTATTTTGCTTTTCATTTTTGCCACATTAAAAAAAAGTATGATCAAATATTAACTCTATTTATGTGACGTAAATTGATTGTTCTTTATTCCTATAGAGTGGTCTTTCTGGGGAGTGTTTCATAAAGACTAAGATCGACTTTAAGTTGGACTTAACAATGGCAGGCCTTTCATGCCACTGTTTGCTCTCACCATTATGATCTTTAGATGATATTTTTTCCTTCAATAATGAATTATCAAAAAATGTAAATTCTGTAGATTTGTGACCATGATTTGAACGTCCCTTGAGAGATCATTGCCATTAAACGGTGAAAGCAAACAGTGGCATGAATGGCCTGCCATAGTTAAGTCCAACTTAAAGTTAATCTTGGTCTTTGTGAAACACCCCCAGACAGGTTTGACTGTATTTTATCCTTTCTCTCTGCTGTATAAACATTGCAGAAACGGAGCCTTCAAACAGCTTGCATTCAACCTTCTCTTCATTCTCATGTGGACAGTGTTAGCCTGCAGTCTCAAGAGCCCTTTCGAGTACAAGTTTCCTGAGGACATTTGGAGGCTGATTCTAGAGGTATGTTTAAACTGTGTACCAGCTATTTTAATGGCAGTAGTTTAATGTTGATAGTATTAGAATTGGTAACAGCGATAGTAATAATGATAGTAATAATAAGAACAGTAATAGTAATTGTCATAGTAATAGTAATTTTAGCAATTTCAATAGTAATAGTAATACTACTACTAATAATACAGCATTTGTTATGCGCCATCGATCTAGTAAACTATTCTTAGGTGCAGAGGGATAGAATTGGAATGAGTTACATAGAGAAATGAGAAGGGGAAAAGTAGTCCTAGTTATAGTAATAGAAATATGAATTGTGATAATAATAATAATATTAGTAATAGAAATATGAATTGTGATAATAATAATAATATTAGTACTAGAACTAGTTGTAGGAAGAAGAAGAAGAAAAGGAGGGGAGGAGGAGGAGGAGGAGGAGGAGGAGGAGGAGGAGGAGGAGGAGAAGGAGAAGAAGGAGGAGGGGGAGGGGGAGGGGGAGGGGAGGGGGAGGAGGAGGAGGAGGAGGAGGAGGAGGAGGAGGAGGAGGAGGAGAAGGAGGAGGAGGAGAAGGAGGAGGAGGAGAAGGAGGAGAAGGAGAAGAAGGAGGAGGGGGAGGGGGAGGAGGAGGAGGAGGAGGAGGAGGAGGACACATGCTAGTATTTAAACAAAGAGCAGCTTTGTGCGTATAAAATAACAAGCTAAAATTAAAGCTACGAAATTGCACATATCTTTTTAAATAATGAACCCATCCATTTAAGTTATGCACGGACAAATTAAGTAATTTATTACGCTGAAAATCGGTACGATGCAAAAATCTTGCTGCCAGTTACACCTTGTTGCATAAGAAGGTAAATGGTACCTGGTAGGATGCAAATGTTAAAGTTGTTCGATTGGCATGTATGAGCTTGTAAAATTAGAAGTTAGGAAAAGTTAGAAATGTAGTATTAAAGAGGGGGGGTTGAGTTCTGGGGAGAAGTGAAAAATAATTTGTGAGCGTTAATGTTACGCGTGTGGAGGAACATCAGTTAAATGATGTTCCATGAAAAGCATGGCTCTTCAAATGCCTTAATATTATAAATATGGCATGTACCATCATAAAAATTGGGACGGATTTTTATGCCACATGTTTGTGTATTCCCATATACATCTTTCTGTGTACAGTGCTTGTAACTTTACCAAGACTGGGCCAAATTGCTTATCATTTTCAAATGATTCCAAAACCTTGCAGTACACACCAATACTTATATGCTAGATGATCAACCTTTTCTGATCGATTCCACAACGTTTCTTTCACAATGCACATGACCATAACTCAACTTTATCTTTAAGCGCCATACAAATGTGACTATCATTTAGAAATTTCCTGTATTTTCTATTCGCACAGGTATGCGGTGGTCTCTTGACTATATACCAGATAGTCTTGGAGCTCAAAGAATTTTCAGACTCAAAGAAGAAGTTCATCGTAAGTACTGCTCTATTTTAGCTTTGTTTATATCCGCCTGCTCCTGGGGCCCCGTCTCTAATTACGAACGTATATAGTTGCGATTGATATCAATCACAAATAAGTTGCGATTAATATCAACCTTTGTAAGGCGCAGGGCCCAACAAGTTCATGTACTATTCTGTCATATTACCATTCAACGTATTCATTTGTGACATGTAATGATAAATGTTTCTGGTGCAGCATCAGTAATTGCATTGCTCATATAAGCATCTCCTAAGCATCATCTCCACATGCGGGCCCCGTCTTATAAAAAGTTACGATTGAATCGAATCAATCGCAAGTCCTCCAATCAATCGCAACTTTGCAGACTCCTATCTCTTATGTGCAATTGTGATCGATATCACTCGCAAACTATTAGGTTGCGATTAACCGTGATGTTTTTGAAAACATGATTTATGGATCCATAGTAGCTTTTATGATAAGCCTATAAGGAGTGAGAAAAGTACCTTAACTATTCAACGGGCTGATTGTCCCGTACATGTATAAGACACTTGTGAAATGTGCCAGAACTATATTATTTTGGTATTCATTTTGTCACTTGGAATATGTTTTGTTGGTTGATTAAATTTGAACTGAATTCAAGTCAATTTTTGTTGGCGTCATGAAAAAATTACAAATCATAAATACAGAGTACATAATAGGCCAGGACTTTAAACAGTAGCTTGTGCTTGTAAATAAGGACCCTATGAATCGTCATCATCATACATGGATTGTACAACACATACACCTAACCCCAACCCCTAAGCCTAACCAAAATGGAAAATGAAGTGCCTTGTCATAAAAAAGGGCTGGAGTTTACTGCAACATCATATGTGAATATGCTACATGTACCCTATAAAAATGCTGTGGTTTGATGGAGATGTGAGTTGATCTAGCGGCACGTTCACTTGGTCAGCTCTCTGTCTTTGCCTACAAACTAGCTATAACCGACCCTGATTCGAAACTGAGTCATGTCTTTTGGATGGTGACGTTAAAGGTCGATCCCCAGACGTAAATAATCATATCTAATTGACACACGTTTGTAAAAACGTAATTACACAAGCGCACCATATGTGAACGCCTTTCTCATGTGCTTTTTCTTGTGGCAGGCATGGAGAAACTGGCGTATCACAGAGATTGAGAAGGATTTCAAGTTCTGTCACCCCCAGTGGCCCCAGGAGAGGCAGTACCTGGACCAAGAGGTTGCCGAAATAAAGGAACAGGCTCCAAGCTACTTCGCAGATAAATGGTAAGTCGTATTAAACGTTGTGTGCTGAAAGGGGGGGGGAGAGGGAGCATCGGAAAAATGCACAGGAGCACTGAGCAATTTAGCTCAGGAAAGCTATAAAATAAACTGTAAAAAAGCTCTAGGGAGTGTTTCACAAAGACTAAGATTGACTTTAAGTTGGACTTAACTATGGCAGGCCGTTCATACCACTGTTTTCTTTCACCATTTACTGGCATTGGTCTCTCAATGGACGTACATATCATGGGCTCATATCTACAGAATTTACATTTGTTGACAATTATCTAACATTATCTAAAGATCATAATGGTGAGAGCAACCAGTGGCATGAGTGGCCTGTCATAGTTAAATCCAACTTAAAGTTGATCTTAGCCTTTGTGAAACACTCCCCTGGTAACATAATATCAAAATACTAAAATTACACTTTCTCCACACCAAATCCTAAACGAGTTCCTGCGAACAGAAAATATTTTTTACATTGAGAGGGAGGCATGTGTCCCCCTCCCCCCCCCCCCTTCATTTGCATCCTATGTCTGTGATTATGTGATGCTTGAGAGGCATCGCCTGGGGGATTTTTCACAAAGACTAAGATCGACTTTAATAGGCAAGTCCACTCCAGTATTGAAACTTAAGGGAACCAAAACCTTCATACTAAGTTACTTTTATTGTAAAGTTTAAAAGATTTGAATAAAATTAGTGAAAATTTGAACAAAATCGGGCAAGGAATATGGAAGTTAGAGCTTTTTGAAATAACTAGTCACTAGAGGGTGATATTCAATTTGATGACATCATCTGTGGACAACTCTCCATGCCTTTTGTACATAAAATTTCAATTTCTTTTCGTTTTCTTCGTATTTGTGTTCTTGATACGATTTCATAACATGTGAAGTAGAATATCATTTTGCATTTTATTCCTTGCTTTCAGGGGAGTAGATTATCTCAATCACAAGAAAGAAGGAAAAATATTCCTTGGCCGATTTTGTTTAAATTTTCACTGATTTTATTCAAATATCTTAAACTTTACAATAAATGTACATATAACTTAGTATGAAGGTTTTGGTTCCCTTTAAGTATTGACCGGCCGGCCCAGGGCCCAAGTTAATTTTCAGATGAATAGTGAGTCCTAATATCATTTGCTGAGAGCTAGAGAGGTGTTAACTGAAAGTTCACCTTTCTGGCTTTCTCTGTAGAAAAGTTTGCCCCTTTAAGACAACAGCATTGCGCGAGTAAGTTCCTTTCCTTAAATAATTATTATTGAAAACTTTTATAAGTAAGCTTTAATACGTCACATTCTCAAGAAACATATGGCGGGACAAATCAATTTTTTACAAACGGTCCTTAAAAGAAATTACAAAACTTGGTAACGGTAGGAAAAATTTAATTACTAATCATACATGTTTCAGTGCTGATATATACCGTGGTCGAGTGGTTAAGTCGATCACAAGGTCCGCGGTTCGAGACCCGCCGCGGCACTAATGTCCTTTGGCAAGACATTGATCCACATTTGCCACACTCAACCCAGGTGATGTTAATGGGCATCCGGCAGGAATTGATTCTTTGAAATGCTAGAGCCCCGCAATGGCAGCACAGCTAAAGCCGGGGTAATAATCTCCAAGTTTGGAAGCGCTTAGCCATTGTAATAAGCGCTATATAAAAACTGAGTATTATTATTATTATTATTATTAATCTTTATTCCAATCTCCATCAACACAGGAACTTATTTGATTGGCTGATTTACATCTCGCTGCTCATTGTGACTCTCCTTCATGTCGTGGATATCTTCGTCGATGCCAGCGGCCTGAGCACGGCCACCCAGAACATCTTCGCCATCGTCATCATCTTCGTCTGGTTGAGGCTGATGAAGAGTGTCAGAGCCTTTGTCAGATTTGGTAAGTGCATCACATGTAGGAGGCGTGATAGCTCAGTCGATAGAGCAGTGGTCTCGTAATCCGGTGACCCACGTTCGAAACCAAGGCGATGCGCTAGTGCATTAAGGCATTAAACCTCATTTCCAGGTCCCTCGGAGAGGACCTAAAACCATTGGTCTTCTGGTTGCTTACTATAACAAGCACTTATTGCTCTTTTAGCTGTCAGGTGAAATACACATATACATGTAAATGACCCTAACCCTTTCAGGACAGGATTGATTTTTAAGGGCTGATTTGATCACATGTTTTTTTTTCAAATTGGCATCGATGATATTTTCCTCGTACTGCTACACCCTTACAATGACATACTTTGCTTTTTGGAAAGAAATTTGTTGGATTGCACCGAAAAACAAAATTACAAGATCGATCACACACAAACTTTATTTACTTGGTGCAAGTCCAAAATTTCTTTACAAAAATTGAAACTACCCCTAGGAAGCCTAACATTCCAAATGTTGTTTTGTGTTTTCTTTTTCTGCAGGACCTTTTATTGTCATGCTTGGCCTCGTCGCAAGTGACTTTGGGACCTTCTTGTACCTGTATGGAAACTTCTATATACCTTACGGTAAGATATAAACACCTTTTAGTAGTATTTTCATCTTACCTCCCTTTAAGCTCATCAGTCCTTTGATACCTTAAATTTTCTGAATACAAAAACATAGTATTTTGAAATCTAACAAGCATTTATGTTTTCTTAGCAGTCAGGTAAAATAACCACCACTACACACATAAAATAAAATTGTTGATAAAAAAGGCTTTCAGAAAATCACCCCAGAACAGTAAATTTTAGTCTGCAAGCTAGTCACTGAGCAAAATATATATCACAGCTTCCACATTTACCTAACATACATTGTGCCTGTATTATATTCTGTATGATGATATAAATTTCAAATTACTGAAATGAGCTGTACGTGTACTGAAAGGACCAACAATTTTAATTGTAATTTTACAGATTATTACTAATTTTTATACCTCCGTTACGAAGTAGCCCAAGGCATTATGTTTTCGGGTTGACTGTCCATCCGTACGTTTCGTTTTCATGATTGCGTTATCTCAAGAACCGATTGATGAATTCCTGCCAAACTTAGGTCATGTATGGTATGTATCTTGCAGAGCCAATCAATTGATTAGAATTTGGGGTCATAAGGTCAAAAGTCACAGGGCTCAATATGTATGCAAATATCAAAGGGTCATACATGTATAGCTTGTATAATCACAATATTCTGAGAACCTGTTGATGGATTACAATCAAACTTTGGTGGAGGCATCATTTTTGACTGGGCGCAGTTGAAGGTCCATCAAGTTGTTCATAATTTTGAGATGAGTTGTTCTCACATGTTTCATGGCTCTCAGCATGTTCTTCATAATAATGTCACTTTTTCCTTTTACAATCACACAACATGTACTACAGGGTGTAAAATATATAGTGCACCTTTTCTTGACAAGTTTCAATGCTCTCATCATGTTCTTTAAAATACTTTTGCCTCCTGGATGACATACATGTATGGAAGAAACGATGGTACCATCCAAAGCATGGCGACAGTTGAACAGATGATGCACAGCCTCCCCAGGATCACATTGGTCAATGAATACGATTAAGGCTGTTTGCATTTTACGATTATCCCAAAAAGAATTATTATTGTTAGTAAAGTTTAGTTTTGAAACAATTGTCAAACGTTCCTCTTTCATGACATATATTTGATTTTCTTTAATATAGCATGTGCCTTTTGGATGACATATGGAGGTAACAATGGCACCATCCCGAGCATGCAGACTGTGGATCAGTTGATGTACAGCCTCTTCAGGATCACGTTGGTCGATGAATACGATTATGATGTAAGTCACATGATGAAATAAGTGTCTGCTTGGAACTGGGTCATTCCATACAGTTGGAGCAAAAAATATGACGTTGTCCATGTAACGTAGGTATGAGATCTTCTACTAAACATGGAAGATGAAATTATCTGTTGAAGATTTTTATGCAAAGAATATATATAGTAGTGCCATGCCTGTAATTGTTCCTGTTTTAGTTGCTTTTCTTCAAAATCTTTGCTCATTACACATTTCTCTTTTTACCAGCGTGACATGGACATCATATTCATATAGCATTACATAAACTTTGGGTCCATAATATTGATTGACCATGAAGCTTGAGTACTTCTGAAGATGGCTACGCTTTTCGAGCAAAACTCAATTTGAGCAAACATTGTTACAGTTGATAGGAGACATACATGTAGTTTCCACTTCTGGTATGCCACAAAAAGTACCCCAACTTTCTGGATGGACCCAACTAGAAACACACTGTAGGAAAGTTAGCATTTCTTAGTCTTAAGTTACCCAATGTTATTAATTGATTGTGATTCCAGAACATGGGCATGACTGGATATGTATCCAATAGATGTGCATTTCAGTAAAACAGACTTCTGAAGGGCAATCCATCGTTTGTAATAAGGTCATTTGTACATAAAAGCTGGGGGAAAAAAGTAACAGAATAGTAAAAGTTTAAATAAATCTGATCAATAATAAGAGAGTTAGGAATGTCTGAAATTTGTGGAGGCATAATGACTCAGTGGCAGCTAGAGTTGTGGTCTCGTAACCAGGAGGTCCCGGGTTCCAAACTAAGTCAATGCGCTGGTGCCTTTTAGTTAAAGGCTTTAATCCTCGTTACCAAGTCCCTCAGAGAGGACTTAGAGCATCGGCCCCCTGGCTGCTTACTTACTGTACAAGCATTTAGATGCTTTCTTCGATATCGTTAGTACTAATTGTGTAGCTTTCTCCCTTTGAATGTTTAATAATAACGATTATTATAATAGTATTCAGTTCTTGTATAGCGCATATCACATTATAACGTCTCTATGCACTTCCAAAGAGGTTTGGTAATTATTACCCCGGCTTTAGCATGGATGCCATTACAATGCTCTAGCATTTCAAGGAATTACTTCCTGCCAGGTGACCATTTACCTCACCTGGGTTGAGTGTGGCAAATGTAGATTAACGTCTTGCCAAAGGACATTAGTGCCGCGGTGGGACTCAATCGAACCACGGACCTTAGATAACGTGGATACAAAATCCTGTATGATATGTAATCAAGTTCCTTCTTTTTATCGTTTTCTACCCCAGGGCATGCGTCAGGAGAATGTTTGGATGACGTACATACTCCTAGTGACATTCCTCATGATATCTGCTATCCTCTGCATCAACCTACTGATTGCCATGCTCTCTAACACCTTCCAGAGGTGAGTCACGTTATGGTAATGATGAGGATGATGAGGAGAGTGAGAGGAGGAGGAGAGGGAGAGGAGGAATGGGAGAGGAAGGGGAGGAGGTGCAGAGGGAGAGGAGTAGGAGAGGGAGAGGAGGAGGAGGAGAGGGAGAGGAGGAGTACATGGAAAAGGAGGAGAATGAAATGTATGATGATGGTAATGATGGTGATTTGTAGTAATGGTGATGATGGTGATGGAGATAATAATGGTGATGATGATGATATTAGCTATAATGATGCTGCTGCTGATTTTGAGGGGATGCATGTTGATGGAATTGATTTTAGCTTAGATGGTGGGAGACGATGATGAGAGGAAGGGAAGGAGGAGAACGAAATGTATGATGATGATGATGATGATGATGAAGGTTTTATTATACATACATCAGATCAAAAGATGGTAGCCAGAAGTGGTTAAGAATGTGTTTCCTCTATGTATTTTTAAAAAAAATTATGCATTTCAAATCCACTACAATTCTATCCAATCTGACAGGGTGTATGACAATGCCACAGCCATTGCTATCATGCAGCAAACTAAAATCATCTTGAGTATTGAAGATGGTCTGGGAAAGAAAACTAAGAGGAAATACTTTGACTACATCCGGGAGTTCTGCAGCCCACAAAGCCTTTACTATGATGACGACATGACCTCCGAGGGAGGAGATGACCTCAAGAAGATGACCTTTCAAATTAAGGTAAAGGCTTTTGATTTGTAGTAGATCTTTATTTCATTCATCATAAAAAACATAACGTAATTAACGTTGTATAAATCGCGCTCGTGTATTAACCGCACCCCTCTTTTTCGCCCTTAATAAAAAAAAAATTGCCTACATTTTTTTTGGTTTTTGTGTAAGATCATTAATCTAAATTAAAAAAACAGAAGGGGACCTAGGATAGAACCTTGTGGTACACCATGTAATAGAAGAAAATTTGGAGGAATTATTATTATAAAGTACATATTGAGATCTATCAGAAAGATTACTTTCAAACCAAGATGACAGACAAATTTGAGTGTTGTTCTAGTTTCCGAGTGGTGAGTCAACACACCGATTACCGAGCTGGGAGACATTGCCAGGCATAGCGCCAGGTGGAGGGGCATAAATCAAAACTTAAAAGCCGCACCCCCGACTTTGAATTTTTTTCGGCGGCAAAAAGGTGCGGTTAATACACCGTTAATTATGGTATATAATACAAAACATTGCTTACAAGTTAAAGAGAAACATTTACAATAGAATACAACAACATCAACAAAAATGTCATATGAATGTGGAGACAGCTAGGAAAGCCAATTAAGGCTTTATTTGTGCTGCCACCGAAACAGTAATGCAGGATAATATTGTTGTTTTAAAAGGTGATACAAAAAACCTAATGCCTAAATAGAGGGGGAAAAAACAAAAACAAAATCGAAACAAAAACCTGACCATGTACAAAATCAATCTTTATTTAAATTGTTGGATAAGAAATGATTTATATCTCCTTTTAAAAACGTTAATTTCTTTAACTAAATGTATAAACCAAAAAGATTGATTGGTTTGAATATAGGATGCAGAGGCAGTGATATGTGTTTTATAACAAATCAGAAATAATGTTGGAACAAGACTTTTCTTTTAAAATTGTTTGGTTTAGAATGTTTCATAGGCACTGAAGGTAGGACAACGGTCTATATGAAAGTGAGCTATTCAGAGATGCAAGCCAGCGAATCTTATTTTGGAGCAATGATTCCTGTTTTGGCCTTCAAAGTTATATTGTAAAACCTAACCTCGGTCACAGCAATAAACAGCTTAACCCGTTGACTACTGAATTTTATAGGTCCCATAGGCTTAACACAGGGACCACCAGGTTCCCGTAAGCAAAGGGTTAAGAAACTGAAAGAACTGTTGAGATTCATTTTTACATCAAAGCGTTTGCAGGACTCTCTTTCAGAGCTTGATGAGTGCAGATTGGAGGGGAAGAGACTGAAGGTGTTTCCAGCAAAGATAAAGTACTATATACATGAATAAACTCTGAAAGAACTGATTTGATTCATTTTTACATTAAAGCTTTTGCAGGACTCTCTTTATTAAGAGCTTCATGAATACAGATTCAAGGGCAGACATTGAAGATGTTTAATAATAATGATAATAATAATAATAGGCATTTCTATAGCGCCGTCTATCTAGAAATTCTATTCTGAGGTTCATTTTTTATTACCCCGGCTTTAGCCTAGCTGCCATTACAGCGCTCCAGCATTTCAAGGATCTAATTTCTGCCAGGTTACCATTTACCTCATATGGGTCGAGTGTGGCAAATGAAGATTAATGCCTTGCTAAGGGATGTTAGTGCTGTGTCGGGGATCGAACCACGACCTTTGAATTTCAAGTCAAGTACGTGCTTAAGCCACTCAACTACAACTATGACTACGACAATGATAATTACAGGTACAAACTTTAGATAAGTGTTCAGATTAAGTTATAACATTTTTAAAAACTTTTACAGGACTCTCTTGAAGAGCTGGATGAATTCATCAGAGAGGAACAGCATCTAGCCCACAATGGGAACATATCAGGTCTGAGAGCAGAGATAGAGGACCTGAAGCAGAAGCACGAGGAGGGACTCAAGAAGGTCAACAATGACCTGAAGGTGGTCCAGGAACTCTTAAAAGCAGTCCTGGAACAGAGGTCAGATCGAGGAGGAGGAGGTGATGGAGGCATTCGTAAGTTAACTTCTTTATTAGTCACCGTAAAACTGGGCCCCGTCTTACAAAGAGTTGTGTTTGATCCGAATCAATCGGAAGTCCTCCAATCAATCGCAAGTCTCCTATCTCTTATATACATAGTTGCGATTGATATCAACTCTTTGTAAGACAGGGCCCTGGTGTAAAGAATGCTCATAGGAATTAAGGGGGAGGGGGGGGGGGTCCTGTATCAGAGGACAAAAAAGTTCCTGTGGTACTGAATATTCCTGTGGTATTTTGTGTGGTAACATCACGTACCACAGGAAATATCTAATACAAAAGAGTTCCTGTGGTACTGAATATTCCTGTGGTATTTTGTGTGGTAACCTCAGGTACCACAGGAAATATCAACTTACCATAGCCAGCCATTGACATTACCACACGAGTCTAGTGACATTACCACACAAGTTCCTGTGGTACTGAATATTCCTGTGGTATTTTGTGTGGTAACCTCAGGTACCACAGGAAATATCAACTTACCACAACCAGCCGCTGACATTACCACACAAGTCTAGTGACATTACCACACAAGTCTAGTGACATTACCACACAAGTCTAGTGACATTACCACACAAGTCTAGTGACATTACCACACAAGTCTAGTGACATTACCACACAAGTCTAGTGACATTACCACACAAGTCTAGTGATATTACCACACAAGTTCCTGTGGTACCAAATATTCCTGTGGTATTTTGTGTGGTAACATCAGGTACCACAGGAAATATCAACTTACCACAGCCAGCAGATTACCACACGAGTCTAATGACATTACCATACAAGTCTAGTGATATTACCACACAAATCTAGTGACATTACCACACATGTCTAGTGACATTACCACACAAGTCTAGTGATATTACCACACAAGTCTAGTGATATTACCACACAAGTCTAGTGACATTACCACACAAGTCTAGTGATATTACCACACAAGTTCCTGTGGTACCCAATATTCCTGTGGTATTTTGTGTGGCAACATCACGTACCACAGGACATTTTTGTAAGGGACTACATGTTTGTTTGCTATTCATGTTTTCTTAATTTCTTCTTTTTCCATTTGTTTCTGTTTAGAAGTATTTTCCTCAATATAGATTTTCATGGTAACACTTGAACGGAAACAAAATGCGAATGTAACAGTTTAATAGGTGGGCTCTGAAAGTGGGATTGACTGTATTGCTGCTGGAGTAAAAGTTATATTTACACTGCAGTCGGGTGAAACAAATCATCACACATACACAAATTCAAACCTGCTTTAGCGACCACCTGCCTATAAAGACCACATATTTTGTTTCCCTTGAATCTGGTTTCTCATTGAAATCTATACTAAAGAAACCTGTTCAAAAATACCACCTGCCTATAAAGACTGCTTTTCATGTTTCCCTTGAGCGGTCTTCATAATACAGGTTTCACTGCATTTACAATTGAATTAATGAGATCGTTCTCTCTCTTCATGATAGGTACTCTCCCTACACTCTCAACCCACGGTGAACCATACAGCGTTCCCACTGGCAACCAAAGTAGCGTCCCCCAGGTAATGATGGCTACAGGTTCCCCTCGTTTTATCGGCAGGAGGGACACAGGGACCCCCAAGCCTTCACTCCTGGCTGAAGATAGCATTGACGGTGGCCCCATAGGGTAAGTTTCTACTGCCAGCAAAACATTTATCAAGATCTATTTTTAAGACATTTAAAAAGTTCTATAAAGTGTAATCTGGCCATTTTTGCTCCATTGTCACTTCGTAATACCAATGAATTTAATTTGGTCCTAAATGTGACACCATACCTACTCCTACCCCTAGCCCTTACCTGAATGTAGAGGAGACAGTCGACCTTTGCTCCCCCAACTACAAAATATTGATCAAGATATATTTGTTGGTTATAAAGCAGTTCTTGCTTTTCCATCAGGAAACGGTAATGTAATTCTTTATTAGAAAATATGAAGTGCTATGCATGACCTTTCCTTGACTAATAATTGAAATTCAAAGACACCTGTCCTTGGCTGTTATGAAATATACAAGACATTTGGAGAGTTCAAATGTCCCCCTCCCCCTATTTCTTTAATTTTAATCGAAAACATACTGCCTGTCCATGAAATTACAGCACACAGTTAGATGATTTCATTATTTCTTTACTTTCTTTTAACACAGAGCACCGTCACCTAAAACGCCAGACCTTAGTGTTGATGATGTAGAAAGGTATGTATAAATCATCTATATGAGAAAGTTCTATCATTTGTTAACCCTATATTACACCTAACACATAGTAGTTTAGAGTTTTCTTAAAGTCTAAATAAATCATCTTTTCATCCTCAAATTGGCAGAAATTAGTTTCATTTTTCATTCCTTCTCAGTTTGAAAAAATACAAGTACATATTAAATGATTCATTGTGGATGCAAAATATATAAATATAATTTTTTTTAAATTGACAATTGACAAGAAAAACTTTGCATTGTCAATTTAATGATTTTAGTCTCAAGATAAGTAATTTCATAACATTTCACCATCCTCGGAGTATTTCATGTTGCACTCTGCACATTTGTACATGCCTAAACATTTATATATAAGGTACAGTAATGATGCTCATTAATGTGTTTCAGCTGTAATAGGGGAGAAAGCGCTTTTTACAATTTCAGAATTAATTTATAAATGTTGAATTCCAGCACAAAATGGTATAAGTCTGAATAAATGATTCAGAAGATAATGATAATTTTTCAGAAGATCAGGTGGGCGTTTCACAAAGCCTTTTTTTCAATGACAAATGACAAAAATCAGTGACAAATCTGCTGATAACCAATCAGAAGCAAGGATTTCACTAGCTCATAACAAAAACTGTAATTTTTCACTGGTGACAAGTTTCGTGAAACACCCCCCCAGGTATCGATCACCATCTCTATCTCACCTATATTCTTCCTGCAGCATAAGGGCTTTCAAAAAGGAAAGCAAACGGCAGCGCAAGCTGAGACAGCAACGGGAGGAGTACCTCCAACTGCAGCTGAACTCTCCAGACCAGTCAGGGGGTCAAAGGTCAGCAGGTCAAGGGTCAGCGAAGAGGATAGGGAAGCCTGGATTCCTTCCGGCGATACGACAAGATGATGATGGTGATGACGGGGATGAGGAGGCTCCCCCAGAGAGTTTGGCCGATCTGGTCAGGATGCAATCTTCGGTCGTGGTAAGTCAACAGGCTGTGAAGTAGATGATCATTTTGGCTACCTGCTTACAGGGGAAGTCTACCCTGATATTTGGTTGGTTATAACAGCAGCAGAAAAATGAGAGAAACAGATCAGTGAACTTTTAAGCAAAATCCAATGAAACATAAGAAAGTTATACATTTTTGAAGTTGCGATAAATCAAACACAAATTGGCAAATCTGTTAATGTGTCTTGCGAGCTCCTTTCCAATTTGCTCTGTTCAGAAAATGTCATAAACTCTCCTTTTCTTTGTTATTGATGACGGAGTAGATTTGACAAGAATTGTATAAAATACATATTTGCAATAATTATATCTAGGGTGAAAGTATGATTGAAAATTTTCTTTAAATGAAGGGGCCCTCGCAAGATACAAGAAATCAAATCAAATAAATGTACATCATGTCTTGAGAGGGGGTAATACCAGTGGACTGACAGCCCATGTTACTGACATTTACTAGACCAGTAGCCCACAAGACATATGAAAAAAAGAAAGTTTCCAAAGGTCCATGAGACCAACAGCCCACAAGGCCGTGAGACTGACAAAACAAAGAAATATGTAAGGGAATTAAGATTTTTTTAAAGGATGGTCTAGTGAGTCGTCGGGCTAGTAGACTCTATAAAAAGGTTGATAGAAGGGGTGTGATTATTATATTATATTTAATAACTTAAATTTTGCCTTCACTCCATTACTTTCCACAGTTTGACTCTGAAACACCAGATGATACAACCAAATGCTGATGAGGTGTTTCTCTCTTCGCATTTTTACGCCTTGAGGAACAAAACTATACGCGACCCAGCCTCCTTCAAGTACAATCTGATCTTCAGCAGGAGCCTGCCAGACCTGCCTACACAAGTGACGCGGTTGTATAGAAATTGGGTTAAAATCTTACACCAGGGCCCCGTCTTACAAAGAGTTGATATCAATCGCAACTTATTTGCTATTGATATCAATTGCAACTATGAACATAAGAGATAGGAGACTGCAAACTTGTGATTGATTTTGATCAATCGTAGCTCTTTGTAAGACGGGGTCCAGAATTCATAAAAGCATATCAAGTGCAAATACTGAACCCTGACTAAGTGGATAAACTTAGTTCATCTATGGAGTGCCAATTGTCAACCTCTTCATCCCATCAATTTCTATTCTGTGACCAAGTGAACAACTAATAATCATGTCAATTTGGAATCAATTTGTCATTTTCATTTCATTACTAGATTTATTTCATTTTCTAATTTTATCACAAAATTACAGTAATTTTTAAGGAATAAAGAGGTTGACACTGTCATCCAGTGGCCCTCAAGCTAGGGACATAGATTAATGGATTGATATAGAGGTTGATGCTTGGCACTCCTTAATTCAGTGGTCTGTAAGTTGTACCAGTTTTATAGTCTGCTTTTATGAATACATCCTTTAACATCTTTTTAGAGCAAGAAGGGCATTAACTCATATACTTTAACAGAGTTAACACCCTTTTGGCTCTAAACATACAATATATACATTTACTTCAAACATTACTCAAATATGACTCCCATTTACATGCTGCAGGATTTGATTTGATAATTCCGTTTTAAAACATAGCATGCCAACCATTCCTAGTTTGGAGGAATATGATTCCTATTTTTTGCCGTCAAGCTATAATTGTTCTGAACCCTAGATTCCTCTCTTTTTCTGAAATATTCTGTCTGAAAAGTATACAAGATAGACTGTATTCCTAATTTTGTCTTGTGAGATTCCTAGTTTGTAATGTAAAAGCTAGGTTGGCAGGTATGCTAAAACATTATTTATTGATGTACAATTTCTTATGGTACTTTTACTTCAGCCTGTCAGTTTCTATTATATTGTGCAGCCGGAGTGCCATTCGCTACAAAAATGTATAGAGATTACTGTGCATCTACTTGGAGCTGTATCATATTTCAGGAGTCCTCTGTCACATTGTTAATATTGTGTATTTATTATTTTCCACTGTGTGTAATCTTGCAGTAAGGCTGATTTGTATTCATTATTTACATTTTTATTTGTTTGCTTTAAAGGAATTCTCATTGTTAGTATTTTGGAGTTTCTCAACATTTGCACTTTTTGTAATGTTATCAAATTGAATGTACAAATCTTTGTTCAGTACTTTATTACAAATTATTTCATTCACCTGTTACAAATAATTGTACATCAGTACCAGTAGTCAGTATGCAAATTACGTACATTACATTAGTTGGACAAGCCATAATGTTTGTCCTTCCTATCAGAAATTCATGTATGTGTGTGTGTGTGTAATTGGGTTTTTACAGACGTGTATCAATCAGATATGATGATTTACAGTTGTACGTCTGTGGACCGACCTTTAACGTCACCATTCAAAAGATGTTACTCAGTTTTGAACCTGCGCCCTCGGCTGAATCAGTTTGTAACTTGTATGTTAGTTGGATTACAGGCGCACGCCACAATGCCTAGTTGTATGTAATTCGCATTCTGACTATTTAACTAAACTAGTTATTACAGCAAAATCACATATAATGCAAGCTTGTCATAGTGATTTATTTTTACAGCCAAACAATTGCATTGAGTGTATTAAGTTAGTTGAGAAGTATGCTGCAAGTAGCTATTACATGACTATACTAAGAGTGAACACTGAGGTTTCATATTAAGTTTCATTTTAGACTTACAAGCCAAATGATTTTCACAGTACTTTATTTTGTTTCTCTTCTTTTCTTTACACCATAAGAAACAAAGTCAGGGCATTTTATTTTGTATGTATTCTTTTAGAAGTATCTTTTAAATCATTTATATTCAAAAAATAAAATCAACTATCAGATTCCCAGAATGTCATCTCAGGTACAATATTTTATAGAGAAAATTTAATTCATGTCTTATCAATTTTAACAATTTCAATGAATTATCTATTTTTATAAAAATTCAAAGAGTTTTCATATTTGTTCTAGAAAAAGTGAATTGTGATTTGTGTGTATCTTTTAATCATGCAGGAAAGGAAATTGTTAAAGGGCTTAATCAATCACATGTCCTTTAAATTGGCAACTTTGATATTTTTCTTCTATTGCAACATATTATGAAACAGTTAGTACATTGTGTCTGAAAAGTATATATAGACTGAAACTAGAAGTAAAAAGATTTGTTTTTCAAATGGTTTTTAAACTTGTCAACATGTTACCAATTCCTGGTGTTGAACACTAGAAGGTGATGTAAAAAAGCAGCACAGGATGTGCACATAAATTAAATATCTCTATCTGCTCATTAATTTGGTTTATACCATATTTTCTAGAGTTCTAAATAAAAAGTTATTGAGAAAAACAACAAGATTTAGCAATTCATTGCCCTGTGGAAAGTGAATCATGCATCAATTCAAGTTTAGTTCATCGGTCAAAGAGCTATACAACAGCTCTATGTAAATGGACTTGTGAATGTATTTTATTATTTATTGAAGCATTTAAAAATAATGTAAATTCCATGTACTTGTATATTATATAATTCTGCTTTTATTTATTCTGATGACTTCGTATTACGTTGTATAAATATGTGTATGCTGGAGCAGCATTTTGAAATTCCAGCCATAATCGGGCATTCCCAAACCTTTTTTATGTTAAATTATAATGGTGTAAATAATGATTAGAAGTTTTGTTTTGTTTTGTTTGTGCTGTGGACTTTCAGGCTTTACATAGTTATAATTTATGATTCGTTTCACTGTTTGTGCTGTTAAAATTCAGACTTTATACAGTTTTATTTAATGATTCTTGAATGCCATATTCTTTCTGTCTGTTTATATGGCAAAGTTTCTGAATAGTTTGATGCATCTTTAACAGTGAATCATCTCTGTTTCATAAATGTTGCTATCAATAACAAATGCTAACTACATGTATCTATGACAAATTCGCTCTCAGCCAAACAGAAGCCATGATTTCAGTAGCTTATAACAGTAGCTTGTAACTTGTCCTTAAGTTTTATGAATTTCTAAATTTCCATGACAAATTTAGTCTCGGCCAATCAGGTGCCATTATTTCAGTAGCTTATAACAGCTATTGTAACTTGCTATTGATAACAAGTTTTATGAAAAAGGGCCATGATCCAAATGATGATTAATCATCAAACCAAGAACCACCTTTATAATACTGCCTCTCAAATATTGATTTTGAAGGGGAAAAAATGTCTTTGTGCTTATAATTGAATCGTATTAGCATCATTCCTCTCTATAGAGAATTAATACACCTTGACTATATACAAGTGTACTATTAGTGATTTAATGTGTGTGAGTAATCTGTACATAGGAGATTATAAATAGCTCTGTATGTGTGTATATGTACTCTCATGTAAATTATTCTGAGAAATCATGTACAAATAAATATCTTGAAATATGAATTCTATGTGTTTTGTCTCTTTCAATAATTGTGTGAAGTTTCCTGTTGTAAAATATGTAGTTGGTTTTGATAATGTTGCAAGTATAATTTTGGTCAGATCGACTTACTGCACTCAAGGTGCATATATAGCAACAACAACAAAAATGATATGTCAACTTTAACTAAAAATACATACCGTATATTAACATGGAAAATAAATTGACTGATAATTTTTTTTAATGAGGCGATCAATGCACATGTATTAATTGTTAAGTAAATTGAAAGGGTCACTACTTCTTTTCCTGAGTTTTCTTATATATGCACCAACAAAAACACCATGCAAAATCGTGACTACCGGTATATATTGCCTAAAAGTTAGAAATTGAATCCACAAGAATCATAATAAAATGGATTAAGTTATATTACAACCCCCCCCCCCCTTTCCTCTCTCTCTTATTATCTTTCTCAATTACTTTCTATCAACAAAAGAAAATGAATTGCATCTATATTTCAGCTTTGTAGAAAGGCACAAAGCAATTACTCTTAGACTTATATTTAAGAAGCTATTTTCTACCACATTTGATTATTTTCTCTTCCATGTACATCAATTGTTAATCTTTTTTTCTTCAAGTTTCAGAAGTACTTTAAAATATATATATATATAGGCCTATAAAGAAAATAGTGTTGCAAGATAGGACTAACACCTACATGTACTGTACGACACAGAAAATTATTTTTTCCCTTGACGATTTGCCTAGTTATTTTGACCGTACTTTATTCTGAGTTGTTGAAACTTGAGTAAAAAGACGAAAATCAAAAAGAACAAAATTGAGAATTGTCAAGATCTTTCTTCATTTACAACTTCTAATCTTTTTGTAAGTATTTTCTATGTTTCTAACTTACATGCTGAATAACAGAAACTTTTCAAGTAACGTTGGAATTGCTTATCTTTGCTTCTTTTTTCTTGTTGTCTGCTTGTCTCTGAGTCTGAATGAAGTGTATGCTGTTGATTTCTAGGCTTCGCACACTCAACGGAGCTCCCCCGGCGCTTCGGGCGGTCGACGCTTTCCTTCACCGCTATACATGCGCAGCTCTGTTGTGTTTTATAATGCCTAACGTTTATTGGGAAGGGGGTGGTCTAATTTAATGCTTAAGCTCGATATCTGAAGCTGCTCCAGCCAGTACTTTTAGTCCTTGCTTACTTGAAGAAGAAGAGGAAGACTCTGAGTCTTGGATGGTCATGGAAATTGGTGGGAAAGTGAGCGGGCTGGCAGTTTGCCAGCGAGGCTACTGCGCCAGTCGCAGTGGCAGTTCCGCTGTGCTCAAAATTACCAGGACTCGAAAGGTTTGGGGTGGGAAGGTAACAGGCGCAGGCCACAGGCCACAGATAGGTGCATTATCCTGCCATGCCTGTGTATTAAAAACTGTTTAGACGATTCTCAACATTTCAAACACCGTCTGTATGAAACTCAACCGCTTTATGCCGAAAGGATGGGTAGCGTGGTGTTGCGTTTACTTGAACGCGACCATTCGTCCAAAGCCTCCCCACCCCCCCCCCCCCCCCCCCCCCCCCCCCCCCCGGTTTTGCTGAAAGGGTGCGTTGACTAGTCTTCCACATCAGTTGTTTATAATGGAATTTAAGGAATTGAAATTTAAGTCGTTTAAATCCAAATAATCAAAATAGAAACAGATTAAAAATTATGTCTTCAAGTAAATTTGAAGCGCAAATGCCTGGGTACCTGAGATACATATTTTTAGCACTATAATTGGTGGTTCTACTTAAATTAGTAAACCTAAAATTTGTGTTCTTTCTTTCATTGCAGTAGCTGTCAGTTGCTGGTAACTCCTAAAAGATGCCTGGTAAACTGCGAGTGCGGGTCGTAGCAGCCAGGGACTTGCCTGTCATGGACAGAGCAAGTGATCTGGCCGATGCTTTTGCTGAGGTTCGTCTAGTATAGCAGTACAGTTTCCATTTTGTCCTTCGCCTATATAGCGAAGTGTTAGTGACTCAAAGACGTAACTCCAATTTGGCCATTTTGAGAAAAAGTGATTTAAAGATGGAGGTCAACTTTGGCCCTTAGGAGTTAAGTTTATGTTTCACTAGCGATCGACTTCAAGTGTTGGGTGGAGTTAAGTCTTTGTGTTTCCTGGAAAGCCCACATTTTTCTGAACATTTTGATATCAAATACTCATTATGGCAAAATATGGAGTTACGTCTTTGTGTCACTGAACCCTCGATATATACTCTTTAATACAGGAACACAATTACATAGCTTTGGTTGAGACATTGAAGGGACCCTGGCTTGATTGGGAGAGCACCTGCCTTTCTTAATAGATAAAATGCAAATTGTCAAGGCCATTGACTCTAGACAGGTTTTTTTTAGAGAGGGTCGTAATGTTTCTTTTCACACTCTTTACCCCTCTCTATGTTTTTCCCCCTTTTTCAAGATTTTGTTTATTTGAGTTGGGTCCCGTGTCCCCATGCACCCCTATAGCTACGCCACTGCATGATCGTTCCTTCAAATTTATGTATAGGTACAATTGATCCCGTATTGCAGATAGGAAGTGTTTCCCTTGTTGAAAAAATGCTACTTTACACCTGCTTAGCCCCAAGTTTACCAACAATTATGAAAGATAATAATAATAATATTTAGCTTTTATATAGCGCTTACATCTCGAACTTCTCTAAGCGCTTTACAGATATACTTTTACCCATGTCATTGGATTCAGTGCTTGCCCACACACCGTGTGCACAATCTCCACTCCTTAGGGATTATTCCAGTCAGGCATGACTTGACGCTCAAAAACTGTTTGAACAACAATGACGGTCTCATCCTACCGGGTACCCATTTTAATATCTGGGTGGAAAGTACCAAGTGTAGGTTAATATCTTGCCAAAGGATAATAGTGCCGTGTCGGGATTCGAACCCTCGACCTTTGCATCTCCAGTCAAGCGCCTTAAACCACTCGACCATGACACTTTCATCTGTCACAGACAGAGAGTTGTTCATTGTTTTCTGTCACTTTGCCTCCTTTTTCTCTCATTATATTAAACACGACCATCATATAAAAGTACAATGCCGTTCACTCTCCTTTTCTCTCTTGTTCTCTCTCTCTCTCTCTCTCTCGCTCGCTCTTTCTCGATTCAGGTCCGCTTTGGTCAAAGCACATACAAGACAGAGGTTTATCCAAAGTCTCTCAACCCTCAGTGGAATTCTGAATGGTTTAAGTTTGAGGTTTGTGCAAAACAATTGGATTTTATACACTGCACTTCTTTGTATACCGTGTCAGTCATAAATATTAACATAAGAAGTATGTGTGAATGCCAGGGGGGTAGATACTGAATGTACCTGAAGATTTTAGTTAAAGACTAGATTAAAGGTAATTGACGGTTTGGTGCTGGTTACGGTAAAATCTTCTTTTTTTTCTGTCCATCTAGGGGGACCAAGACCATGTGTATAAAAGGTTTCCTTCAATTGGCTTTTATAGCTACATTTAAATAGAGGACTTTGTCTTTCAGGGTTCTTTATTCTAAGGGGGAATTGAATTTCTTCTTTATTTATACATTTCTCTTTTGGGGATTTCAGTGTTTCAATTTTGGGGTCAGATTTAATGATACTGTACAGGTATGAAAATATCTGAAATTGTAAGTTTGGAAACATTTTCAGAGATTATAATTGAGCTAACGTGCCATACCACTAGAGATTTATGGGAGACCGATACATCCGTAACCCTTTTACTATGAGATTCTGTTAATCACCATAGACTTTGTACAGGGCCCACCCGGTTCCCGTAAGCAACGGGTTTTTTAAAAAAAATGACTTCAACTTGTTGGATATATTGTAAAATGCAAGTATTCTAGAGAAAAAATACATAAGTAATAAAAAATGCTACTTGATAAAAGTGCAATGTGTTTGTCTATTTATAGATGTACAGTGTAGCACTTTTTGTTTGATTTACTATGAATCTATTCAGATTTCAGTCTCATTTTTTTTTCTTCTCAATTATTTCTCAAATATTGATTGCTCAACGCTAGGTGGATGATGAAGAGCTGCAAGATGAACCGTTGCAAATAAGGTAAGTAATGAACATTCTATTTCCTTTGCTACATGTGCATGTAGTTCAGGTCATCATTTTATGAAACTGTCATTGCACAGGTTCGCCGGCATCCCATTGAAACATGTGTATTGAAATTAACAAGCATTTCAATAGGATGGGGACAAAAGCAGATTAAAACCTCAATTTCCACAACCCCCCAAGTTACGGGTGAACAGGGGTCAAGTTTGACGACATAACATATAAAGCCCATCGACTTGCCTATATAGCTAAGGCGATGAGCCATGCTTAATTAATGCAAAGTCATTGAAAATGTGCATACTCCATACAGTAATGATCTCACCTAGTCCATAGCTAGTTTTAGGTCGACAATTTCAGTTTTTCAAAGTTTTTGATTTTGAATTTTCAGAGATCTCTTACTCCTCTCACAGACTCTAAAATGGCATATAGTTGATATTATTGTAATCTATGACTCGTAAGCTTTCCCTTGATATCTAATTTGTATATTTCATTTTCATTTCTGACAAGATCTTTAAAGAGAAGTCTTGATTACATTTTCCTTGTGACCTAACATTTGCTCCTGTAACAATTGCTCCGAGGGTATAGGGTTAGGGTTAGAGTTTCTGGTGGGTTTTATATTAGGTTTAGGGTTAAGGTTAGGGCTTCAGAGTAGATAGATAGATAGATATTTGGTTTTATTCAAGTACTGATTGAAAAGTCAGAAGACTAAACAAGTCAGTTTACAATATAAAATGCATAACAAAAAAATATAACAAGGTGAAAAAACACAGTTAGGTTTAGTGTTGGGTCCAGGGTTGAAGTTACAATTCGGTAAGTGTAGAAAATTGACACGGAACAATTGTTGCAGGAGCAAGTGTCGTACAAATTGAATTTTATATGAAGTGTAGAATCTCTTTTGGTAGTTGAATAATCTAGTTCTAATTTATTTTTGTCTTTCACAGGGTAATGGACCATGACACATACAGTGCACATGACGCCATAGGAAAGGTAAGAATAATTTAAAATGTCAAGAAGTGAACGGAGGGAGTGTCATCATGGCACGAAAGCCAGTACCGTAACGGATCGTAAGAGGGAGAATGCTGACTTTAATAAATGATGATGATGATGATGAGGGGAGTTCCAATGAGATGAATCCTCTCACCCATTTTTGCTTCTTATTTTAGCGTCCATGTCAAGCTTTTGTTAATATATAGTTGCATTGTGAAAGAAATCGTTACGAAGGTATCGGAACTGGTTGATTATATATTATTAAACAGGATTTATTGTTAAGAGGTTATTGGAGAAGTTTGAAATATATTAACAATGCACTGAATTTGCATAACCTCATAAAGAATAGACAAATAGGTCCATATTCTATGTTAAAATGATCTGTGAATATGTGGGGTCTTTTGTTCCATGCCCTAATTCCAAACCGATCTATTAAAATTCAACCAAGTGGCAACATACCTCTGCTTGCATCTTTCTCGTAATCAGATTATATCAATTTTCTCTTTTCCCCTCCTCTCCCTTTGATATGTAGGTATACATAGACCTGAACCCCCTGTTATGGAAGGACAGTGTTTCTGATATCGCCGGATGGCTACCCATCTACGACACCATGCACGGCATCAGGGGAGAGATCTACATCATAGTTAAAGTGGATCTGATTGAAGATGTCAACAGATTCAGGCAATCGTCAGTCGGCATCCATTTCTTCAACTGTAAGTCTGCATTTTCGTATTTAAATCAGCTCATTTGTCACTGGATTCTGTTGAGTTTACAGAGCTGCCAACCAGTTTGATTTTATTGTATTTTGCACGATTTGTAGAAGTAAATATGACAGTACGATTTTTCCTCAATAAAATTTCAATTGCTCATTCTCTCCTGTAGAGTATCCTACAAGCACCTCACATCGGCAATTTGGGGATGTTCATTAGTTCATCGGACATGACTTCATGTATCATTGCTTTATACTGCTCTGAAAGGTTAAAAATCTTCCTCTTTTTTTCTCTCTTTTTGAACAGCAAGCACAATGCCATCTGGGTACATAGTGACTGCTATCCATGGCTTTGTAGAGGAGCTTGTAGTGAACGATGATCCTGAACATCAGGTAAGATATTTACTACAGTGGAACCTTATTATAACAAGGTCTTTGGGGCCATGGAAATTTCCTTGCTATATAAGGAACCTTGTTACATGTATATCAGGGTTTTAAACAAAATATATATATATATATATATATAAAGAGCTGAGATCAGCAAAATCACCTTGTTATATGAGAGCTCTTTATAATGAGGTTCTACTGATTTGATTTGATTTGATTTATATGTGTTATAGTAAGTATTTTTTCAACTTCCATGTTTACAATTTATCTCACCGTTACAAAATTTATATATTTCAAAAGGATGAAATGAAAATTAAGGTTTCCTTAACTAAATACATTCATTTCATTTTGTGTTCCATTAACAGATTTGGAAACTAAACAAATTGTTGGGAGTCTAATTCCTCTCTTAATATGCCTTTATCCATTATTTCAAGAACAAGCATATTTCCAACAATCTAATATTTACCCCAAAATGTGAAATCTCATCTTTTGATTTGTATCATTTTCAGTGGATAGACATGATTCGATCACCAAGGGCATCTAACGAAGCCAGACAGAGGTTGTTCTCGAAGCTCTCCGGTGAGCTTCAGAGAAAGATCGGACTCAAAGTTCTGGAATCAGAGGGAAATGCCGTTCTAGGGTAAGATCAAAAGTAGTCAGATTTTTTAATACACAGCAGTCATAATGTCATATTCATTGACCATGAGGGGTGTTTCATAAAGCTGTGTGTAAAGTTAGGAATGACTTTGCAAACAACTTAAGTATAAAGTGCCAGATAGGATGCCCAAAGTTTTTCCTGTTGTTTTTTTTTTTTAACAAAGTGTGACTATATTTCCAATAACCTCAATTAAATTGTGGCAAAAAATATACTTTGTATTATAAATTTTGTTATAATAAGAACGGTTATCTACATCTGCACAATTCAACTTTAGTTGATGCAGTTGAAAAACAATTGAGCATCCCAATTGGCTTTTCATATATAAGTCATTTGTGAAGTCATGCGTAACTTTACGAACATCTTTATGAAACTACATTCATATGTACATGTAGATTAAAAATAAACATGAATACAAGCCTGCATAGAGGTTATTTCACAACAATCATTCAACATGTTGTGCTTTGGCTCAATAACTTTTGATTGAGAGCCCTAGATAATATGCCAGATACATGAGTAGAAAGGGCACAAATTTTCATGACGATCTTGCATTTGATGTCCCGAATTTTTAAAAGGAACATAAGCTTTAACATTCTTAAATTGGCAACACATTGACAAATTCAAATCATTGTTTTTCGATCAAATTTTGCCTATGTGGAAAGCCTCGATACAGATTATTTCATTCTCCTGTTAATAATAAATGTATCTCAATAGTCAGAATTCAAATTGCATACATCAGTTGTTGCTAGGTAGGACAAACATTATGGCTTGCCCTACCTAGCATTTGATATAATAATTTGCATTCGACAATTGAAATACAATTATTTGTAACGGATGAATGAAATAATTTGCATTGAGGCACTTAAGTATAAATTTTGTTACTTCACGAAAGTGGCCTACATGTATTTGTGGAGCTCACTCCCTTCCTATCTCTGTGAGATTGACAGTCTAGAACACTTGATTTCATGCCTCTAAACTGACCTAGTTCAGCAAATGTGAAAGTATCGACTTCCCTCGAGGAGCGTGCTCATTTGAATATCATTAAACAGAAATACAGTAAAAATAAAAACCTGTATATAAAGACCGCTCAAGGGAAACACGAAGGGCATGTGGTCTTTAAGTGCATGTTCCTTTACAGGTTGAGAAACACCATTTAAGGAATAGAAAATGTGGTCTTTAGAGATGGGTGGTCTTTTTATACAGGTGGTCACTAAAGCAGGTTTGACTATACATGTATGGCACCATACAAATGCTGTGAATCATCATCTTTAACATCATCAAAGTGAATCACATTTGTATGTAGTGTCCATTTTTATGTTTACTTACCACAGATATTGGCAGTGCTTTGATCTGGAAGGAGAGTCAGGGGTCGTTGTCAGGGGAATAGGTACCATGGCAACCATACAAACAGTCAAACTACCTCCTCCTCCGCCCACAAGTCCACCCAAAGAGTAAGAGTTCTCTCATTTTTGTTAATTGATGGAATATTACGGCCAGTGGATAAGTCTTTGGACGGTTGATCACACGGTTCACGGTTCGAGTCCCGCCGCGTCATTAATGTTCCTTGGCAAGACATTAATCTACCATTGCCGCTCTCCACCCAGGTGGTAAATGGGAACTGGCAGAAAGGAATTCCTTGAATGCTACGAGCACCAAAATTGGTAGCCTAGCAGAGCCAGGGCAATAATGGAGCACCTTAAAACCTCTCTTAAGAGTGTTGGGAGCCCCAAATTCGTCAAAAACTTGATGGCAAAATTTCACTTAATTTGTTTCATGATATGAAAGAGGATGTCATTTCAGACACACTTCTGCAAAGATTGCCCAAACAAATTCTATTTGAAGACAAATATTGATAAAAGAATATATAATTTGAGTTTTGTGATTGCATGCAGAAAGCATAAATGTTGTATTCTTTCATCAATATTTGACTTCAAACACATTTGTTTTGAAATTCCTTGCAAAAATATGTCTCAGATGGCAGCCTCTTTCACATTGTGCTACAAGTGAAATTTTTCCATTAGATGTTTGGGCCTCCCAACAATTTGGAGGAGCTTTATTGTTAGTGGATATTTGAGCTATAAATATGCAATATTATTACTGATAATGAAATTCATACAAGTATCCTGTCTGTATGCAAACAGTCCTGGTATTAGTATTAATGATATTCATTTTAATACCAAACAACAATTTTGCAAACTAAAATTTGATTTCTGAATATCTTCTTTTTTTCTTTTTTTTTCCAGTAATGTGAATCCATTAGACGATCAGACACAGGTTGATGGTCAGCCCGGCTATGGCTCACCAGGAACGGCCATGAATGTTGCCATGCCACCCTCTCCAACCAAGAACGTCCCAACCCCGAGATATGCCTCGGACTCTGATCTGACTGGTCAAGGTTAGTAGTCTATCTCTATTTTTTATTTTGTCATTCATTTATCGCAACCCTGTGTTCAGTTTCATACAACATTAATGAATATTAATATTATGAATATCTTCCTCCTTTCTTTCTTTCTTCCTTGTTCTTCCTTCTTCTTTCTCACCCTTTTCTCCTTCTTCTTCTTCACCTTCTTCTTTTATATCTTTCTTTTTCTTTTTCTTCTTCAACTTCTTCTACTCCTTCTTCCTCTTTTTCTCTTCAACTCCTTTTCTCCACCTCTTCCTCATCCTAATAGATTTATTCAATTGCTTTACTTGTTCCTCTTTTTCATTCCATCTCTCATCCTTCTTAGTGGCCTATTGACACTAAAGTCTTTGTCACATGATACGATACATATGTGTGACTGAGAGACTAAATTTGTTTAAGTGGTACATTTTCATTTATTGCCACATATCATATCAAATATTGTATCATTTTATTTGATAATATGTAATAACTAGATTGTAGCACATTGTTTATGTATATGTATCAGACTCTGCAGTTTCTTTGGCTTAGTGTACATCATTTCTACCATTGTTATTTATCTGTTTGTATTTTTATTTGTAGTTGAAATCCAACCTCAAGTTTTGGTTGCAATAAAGAAAGAAATACTGATAATAGAATATACGTTACTTTGAAAAAAACCTGTTAATTTTCATGTTTCCCTTGCAGATAATTTGCCTAAGATTGTAATTGATACTGAAGGTGTTACAAATCAAGGTTTGACAGTCTGTGTCCTATCAGATATTGAAAGCATATACATGTACATATATATCCAACCTCATCAATAGCATGCATTAACACAACTTGACGTCTTATATAGCACTTTTATTAACAATTCATCCACACACATTTACTTCTGCAGCTGTAGTGACTTTCAAAATGCCCTTTCTTGTTTTGTTTTTATTTCAACTGTTAATTTGGAACAATTTCTGGAGGGTCACTGATCTTCTTTTCTGCAAAACTTTCTAAAATCTTAATATTAATTGATTAAAAATGATGAAATCTGTTAAAAGTTAGGCAATCTACAGTATGTCAGGTACATTCAACTGTCAAGCGCGATGGCCCAGTGGTAGATCTGTGGTCTCTTAACCAGGAGGTCCAAGGTTCGAAACCAAGTTGATGCGCTAGTGCCCTTTGGTAAGGTATTAATCCTCATTACCAAGTCCCTCGGAGAGGACCTAAAGCAGTCAGCCCCCTGGTTGCTTACAAGCATTTACATGCTTTCTTAGCACTCAGGTCAAACAAACAAACCAGGGGGGTGTTTCACAAAGATCCTAAGTTAAACTTATCTTTAAGTTGGACTTAAAATTTATGGAAAGCCATTAGCATCTTTGAAAATATTTTGTAAAAGTTATTTTGAAAGGCATAAAATGTTGATTTAAATCATTCATAATTTCTATCATCAAGGAGACTTCATGTTCTAGATGTGGAATTCATAAAAAGTCTAAAATACTTGAATTTCTGCTTTTGAATATATTTCATTTTAAGGCTCCAATGGCTGTCCATAATTTTTAAGTCCAACTTAGTGTTAAGTATTTTCCAATCCAGTAGATTTAGACAGATTATACCATTAGTCTTTTCTCTTTCTTTTGTACACGTAGCACATACTTCTCTAGTGACAAAGCTAAGATTAGTGTCCCATTTTTTCTTCTAAGCATTGCCTCTTTTACAATAAATTTTCCACATGAAATATATTAAATTTGCCATTAATTGAACATCAATTTTAAATTGTGTAAGTCATGTACCTTGTAGATGGAGAACAGGTAGTTTTGATCACAGTTTATAACCACATTTATAAATTAATACTACATTTACCTTTACCTAATGTGCAAAGTACAGACAAACTAACACCAAATTATTATTGTATTATTGCAGTAGGTACAGTAGGTTTCTCCTCCCTCTCTCTCTTAAGTCCAATGAATGATATTAGTAGAGCATATTGTGTAAAAGATACACATACACATGAGGCATCAAGTGACAAGTCATGTTCGACTTTAAAAAATAAAAAAAAACATGTAGAATGTATGACATCAACCTCAACCTGTCTACAAAGACCACTTCTTGTGTTTCTCTTGGGTTGTCTTTATACTAGACAGCTTTGACCAGTATAAAGACATGGAACTACTAACATTCAAAACGAAAGAGTATTTGGTGATAGGTAAACTTTAATATTTTCATTGCACTATCAAGTTACTAAATTTCTCTTCTTTCGTTCCTTAGTTTACACTCAAACAAATAATCAAAACGATTATACTTTGATATGATAAAACAAGGCCTCGGCTATTTTAATAGAAATGTGACGCAAGATCATGTTCTTCCTCTAAATGAAAAACAGTTTGTTTTGTAAATCCTTTCCTTAGAGACACATGTTTAACACAATCTTTAACACATGTTCATATAATATGTGTTAAAGATTGTGAATGGGCGAGAACGCCCTTAATTGTGCACTATCTTGTGGTGTTCGCTCATACCAGCTTCTACTTGACGGATTAAGATTTTGATTTCTTCTTTCATCTAAAGTGCTTGATTAATGGGGTTTGTGGCATTTGCACTAAAACTGGTTTTGGTTATGGTAATTAATACCAGTTTGGGGGATACTGAAGAGGCATTATTAAATCATTTTGATGTGTATTATTTGTTTGTTTGTTTTATTTATTCACCATGTAAAATAACTGTTTACAGATAATAAAATACAATGGGTAACATTGAGATATAATACATACTGTAGTAGGAACAATGCATAAACAAAAAATGTTTGAAGCGCAATGTCCCTAAGATAAAATAGTTGTTGCTTATTAGGTAAAGATAGAACATGGCTTAGAATAAAACAATTATGGAATATCATTTAAGCCTTTCTTATATCACAAGTCACCTTTTCAAGGTTCCTTTCTTTTAAAGCATTCATAACTTTGTAACGTTGTTATTGATATTTCAAATTGAGATTGCTTTCTGCTCCAACCTTCTTCTTTTTTTATCAAGTAGAGTCCCTAGGCACTCATTAGTTGCCGTACTATGGCTTGCAAACCCGTAACCTCCCCATTTATAATTGTGACACCTAGCTCCAATGTTAGGGTAAGGATTGTTGTGTTTGTGAACTGCTTTGGTAAAGTTAAGTCCAACTTAAAGTCGATCTTAGTCTTTGTGAAACACTCCCCAGACTAATTGTAAATTTGCCATGTACATATACATGTACACTGTACATGAAGTTATTAATACTTGAGTTCCATTTATGGATAATGTGGTAAATTGCTACAAAAACCATTGAGGGAAATCTTAACTATTAATGAATGACAAGAGACAATTGGGAGTGGGGAGGGGGGATACAAGATAGCAAAGCGCAACAATGCTCCCACACATACTCCCTGATATGGGTGGTATGCATGTAGAAAAACAGAAATGAAGTACTCAATGTATGTCTCTTTAGATGAAGGGCTTACACAGGCAAATTTAGAATTAGTCTGGGGAGTTTTTCACAAAGACTAAGATCAACTTTAAGTTGGACTTAACTATGGCAGGCCGTTTATGCCACTGTTTGCTCTCACCATCATGATTTTTAGATAATATTTTTTCCTTCAATAATGAATTAACAAAAAATGTACATTTGTGACAATGATTTTAACGTCCCTTGAGAGATCAATGCCAGCAAATGGTGGCATGAACGGCCTGCTATAGTCTTTGTGAAACACTCCCCTGGAGTTGTACTGTAATTGTTTTATCCCTGTTTTCAGGGAGCCACGGTGCAGCAGGCAGTAGTGGTAGTGGCAGCGGTCCTCATCGAATTGGTCTACCAAGAGCAGTGTTAGCTCAGAACAACATTGATATGCTGGTAAGGACTTTAAAAACCTACATGTTTTTCTTTTTCTTCTTTTTTTGTTCATTCACGTTGAAATATGATTTGGAATATGATTTGCAAATTTCTTCTTCTTTTTCTTTCTTTTCTTTTTCATTTTTTTTTATTTTTTTCAATTTTATCTACACTTAAAACTTGCTAAAATAATTGGGTTAAATGTCTTGTAAAATGAATAGAGAAGTACAATATAGTTGCACTGTGATATTACACCTTATGATCAATTGCAGTAGGAGGATTTCTGTATTAATATCCTGCTGCCACTCGGACCAAATGAGTGATATAACTGGTCTCAAATGTCCCTCCATAGCATCTGCCATTCTGTAAACATGTACAGTTTGTTATCTTCAAAAGATATCAGATGTTTTACAAAGAAAGAACACTTTCAAGACCCTGTCGGACTTGAGAAATGAAATAGATGAATTAAATATCAACGCTTCTAGTAACAGCTCTCTGAAAACTCAAAATGTAAACCTTTAAAAATTGGAAGTTGTTGACATAAAAAATAGCTGTCAACCTGATGACATTATCTTATGTGGAGTACGCATATTCACAATGACTTTGCATTACTGCTTATCGTCTCAGCTATATAGGCTAGCCGATAGGGTCCACATGCAACGTCACCGTAACTGCAGCAAATTTTACCCTTGTTGACCCGAATCTAGAGGGCAGACAATGAGGTTTTAATTTGCTTTTGTCCGATACTGAAAGGGAAAATATTTGTTATTCTTTTAAAATTTGTATTCTTCATTCTTTCAACTTTCTAATGATATAAAGTTGTATTTTAACGGGATAGTTTTTTTTAAAGTAGCATACAAGATGGCATGCACATGTAATAATAATGATAATAATATGGATATTTATATACATGTAGCACCGGTATCCATCTAGCTGCCAAAGTAACTAGCGCTCAAGCATATCAGGTACCCATTAACACATGGGTGGAGATTGGCAAATGTAGATTAACGTCTTGGCAAAGTACATTATGCAGGAGTACCCGTTTTTCACCATGGCGTCTTTTCCTCATTTTCCAAAAATGTTGTTTGATATGCAGGAGTACCCGTTCTTCACCATGGCGTCTTTTCCTCATGGTTTCTTGGTACATCTTGGTGGTATGGTGTCTACTAGATCAGTCAAACTACTTGACAGGATACACAATCCAGGTGAGTATTCAACAAGGGAGGCGCAGTGGCTCAGTGGTAGAGCAGTGGTCTCGTAACTGGGAGGTCCGGGGTTCAAAACCAGGTTGATTGTTAGTGTCCTTTGGTTAAGGCATTAATCCTCATTACCAGGTCCCTCAAAGAGGCCTTAAACCGTCGTTCCCCCGGTTGTTTCATAACAAGCATACACATGCTTTCTTAGCAGTCGGGTAAAGCAAACAAACAAACATGTACATAATTTCTAAATGATATAATGCCAACTGTGGGGTGCCGGCTAAGAAGCATTCATGCATTATTTCAGGACTAATCCTTATGAATTCCTGAATTTCGGTTCTCCCACTACATGTTTTTCCATCTCAACAGAGTTTACACTTCATCAATCTATTGATCCACAATCATCTATTCATCCAAGAACCCACCATTATTAGAAGTAGGAGTAATAGCATCACTTCAATTACTCTTGCTGGACATGAAATTACCCTATCTAATGTATGTCGCAACCTTGGTGTGTTTCTCGACTCAAACATGAAAATGTCTACTCAAATTCAATATGTCTCAAAATCAGTACGTTATCAGTTACGCAATTTGGGTTTTATTCGTAAATATCTTAACCGTGGTGCCACCGAGAAAATTACTCATGCTTTGATTTCTTCTCGCTTGGATTTTGGTAATGGCCTTTTGTTTAGTTCGCCTCACAACCTACTCGCAAAATTACAAAGATTACAGAATGCTGCTGCTCGTGTCGTGACCCTGTCCAACAAGTACAGTCACATCACACCAGTCCTCAAATCACTCCATTGGTTGCCCGTAGAAAAACGTGTTGTTTTCAAGATTATTTTGCTATTATTTCACTGTATACATGGCTCTGCTCCGCAGTATAACATCGGCTTGATTAAGCATTACTTTCCTTCTAGACAGCTACGTTCTCAAAACTCTGGCTTACTTGTTACTCCTAGGGTTAAAACAAAGTGGGGGGAACGAACCTTCGCTCATGCTGGGCCTTCGTTATGGAATACTCTCCCTCAATGGGTTAAGAATAGCAGTTCTACTGAGGTGTTAAAAAACAATCTTAAGAAATATCTGTTTAATTTAGCTTATAATTGATTACCATTACCTTTCATGTCTGTACCTTTCCTATCGCACTTTGTATAAATGTATCATGTATGTATTTCATCTTTTGCACAAGCTGCGCCTTGAGCATTTGACTGTCAAGTGGATTTGGCGCCTTATAAATCATATGTATTATTATTATTATTATTAGCAGTAGCAGTAGTAGTATTAATTGAGAGAGGGAGATTGAGAGCATATTCATGTATGTTTATCTTCATTTCTTAGACGAGCCTGAGACGAGAGATGCCTGGTGGCGAGAGCTGAGGACAGAGATACGCTCCCATGCTATAGCTATGGGTTGCCATGCGGTAGTAGGATACAAGGAGACCACCAGCATCTGGTGAGTATCTTCTCTCGTCAGATCTTTCCCACTGAGATGGTGTACACAGAGATGCCAACCAGTACGATTAAATCATATTTAGTAAGAGTGAAATATGATAATACGATATCACGTCTTAAAATACGATTTTTCATCTTTAAAAAAAATTTAAAAATTAAATTAAAACCCATAAAAACAGCGGAATGGCATAGAAACATGTACAAGTAAACCCCCGCAACCCCAACAAAAACTATGCTTTATAATTTTCTCATTAAATTTTAATGACAGAGCAACAAATTTACTTGACCGTACTTACAATGTACATGTACAAGTAAAACATTTTTCTGAAATTTTACTGGCCCGGGGCTGACAGGCCAGTGGTAGTGTCTAGTTTTTGTGAAAATCTGATTATTTTTTGTTTAGGACACTCAGTCTGTTTTTTGTGTCGAGAGGTTGGCATCTCTGTGTACAGCAAGCAACCTTGACCCAACAGCATAGTCCTAATCAGTCCACTTTGGTCCTGGTCCAATTAGTCCTTGTCTAACCTATATACCTCCTTTCTGTCCCCTTATGCTTTCAGCTTTAGGGAAAGCAGCCATAGTCAATCTAGAAGCTATGCAGTAAGAAATCTTGGTCCAACAGCATAGTCCTAATCAGTCCACTTTGGTCCTAGTCTAATTAGTACTTGTCTAACCTATGCCTTTTTTTATATCCCCCTGCTTTCAGCCTCAGGGACAGCACCCATAGTGAATCTAGAGGCTGTACAGCAAGCAGCCTTGATGCAATGGCATAGTCCTATTCTAACCATGCTGGTCCTAGTCTAACTTAGGTCTAATTACATTCTCTATCTGTCCATTCAGTGAGGAGATACATGTATGTCTGCTTTCAGCTTCAGGGACAGCAGCCATAGTCAATCTAGAAGCTGTACAGCAAGCAGTGTTGATGCAGCAGCACAGTCCTATTCTAACCGTGCTGGTCCTAGTTTAACCCAAGTCTAATTCTATTCTCTATCTGTCCATTCAGTGAGGAGATATGTCTGCTTTCAGCTTCAGGAACAGCAGCCATAGTCAACCTAGAAGCTGTTCAGCAAGCAGCGTTGATGCAGCAGCACAGCCCTGTTCTAACAATGTCGTTGGATAGAACAGAGTTCCTCAAGGAACAACAGTCCATGACACCACATGTAATCGAAAGGTAAGCATTTGCCTTTTCCTTTCCTTTTTCTTAGAAAGTCCTTGGAAGTATATCCCAAATGTCACTGCTTATGCCTTGTTTACAGTTGGGCTGCAATTAGTCTACTGAGCCCGTATCCTGCCCGTATCCCCTTTTCAGTGCGGCTTCCTTGCGGAGGCAGGATGTGGCCTTGAGATTTTTGTACGGATTCACAGGCTCTGCGGCCTCTACGATTTTTGTTTCACAAGAAGTTATACAAATTTGGAGACAAAAATTGTAAGCCCATAGCCAATAGACATGGTATACGTGGCATTGCACAATCCCTGCACATGCATCGTGCGGAGGCCCCGCGCTGATTCAGTAATGTTGATGAAATTGAATGCAGACATCACCTAATGATCAAGTTATTATTTTGTATTCTTTCATTTTTGTTAGAATGGACAGTGGAAACCCAGTCCCGGACCATGTCTCCTCTCGCTGTGCCATGTGCCACATTCCCTACAACGATACAGCCCTTCCTTTCCCTGTGCAGCTAGCAAAATGTGCAACATGCAAGTGAGTACATGGGACTGTTAGTAAGCTATTGGATAAGGGATACTTTCATTTTGCTTGGCATATTACAAGAACTGCACGTTTCTCTTAGACATTAGGATCATGACCTAGGACAAGGCCTTTTTATCTATGTGATGGAGAAGGCCTTTATGGCCCGAATTCACAAAGGAGGTTTGTCGACAAACCTTGGTATGACGCGTTTTACGCGTTTTTTACAAACCTGGTTTGTCAAGAACAAAAGGAGGTTTGGCGAAACAAAAGAAGGTTTGAGCTCAAACCTTGGTCTGAGCTCAAACCTTGCTTTGTGAATTCGGGCCTATAAGTCCAGGGGGGTGGGGGTGTTTCATAAAGCTGTGCGTAAAGTTACGAATGACTTTACAAATGATTTGAATATGAAGAGCCAAATGGGATGCCCAAATTTTTTCCTGACATTTCAACAAAGTGTGACTTTCTTTCCCATAATCTCAATTAAATTGTAGCCACAAATACACTTTGCATCAAAATGTTTTGTTAATAATGATAAGGTTAATCTATTGAGAGCCTTAAAGACACATCTTTTCTTACAGTAGTGTAACAATTCCTGTTTTGATGAGTTGGCGTCTATAAAGTGGTGTTATTTGTCCTCTTATATATGTTGATGTAGATTGTAAAGCGCATAGAGAATTAAGTATTAATTATTGTGAGCTAAATAAATCCAAGTTATTATCTGATGGAAAATTCTGTTATGAATTCACTCTTCATTACTATTGTTTTCATCCGATATTTGACTGCCTTTTGTAGACGCAGCAAAGTTCCAGATGTGCTATTCACCACCATAGAGCCCCCACCGTACCTGTCATACACAGGGCATGGTTGTAGCATACAGGCTAGGTGAGTGATCTGACCTTTAGTGACCCAGCCTTATCTCTGAATTATTGCTCATAAATTATTTTTAAATTTTCTATAGCCTCTATAAATTCTCAAATAACCTAAAATGTTTGAGCCTTGAATAGTAAGTAATGTTCAATCAGTGTATTAGATGATATCAAACCTTGAAAGGGACCTTTAGTGTCCCGACCTTTGTGACTTGATCTTATTGAAATAGGATGTGTATCAAAAGTATTCTTGAGTGCTCTAGAGAAGTTGAGGTTTTATCTCTCTAAATTATTATTCAAAAATGATTTTATACATTTTCTATATGATCTGACCTGAAGTGTATCAAAAGTATTCTTGAGTGCTCAAGAGAAGTTGAGAGGTTTTATCTCTCTAAATTATTGCTAAAAAATAGAATTCTCAAATAACCCAAATGGTTGAGACTTGAGTAGTAAGTAATGTTCAATCAGTGTGTTTGGTGTAATCAAACCATGAAAGCTTTTTGTGGTGTGATTATGTTCATATTTTTTCTCATCCTAGAAGTGTAGAGGAAGATTTTACCATCTTTTACCACAATTTTATTGAATGATTATTTTTGATAAACTGAGCAAAAGATGTGTATATTTCTATTCTATTTCAATGTTTTGTTGGGATATGGAAGTTATCTATACCATTTCTTTTCTTTTGCAGAGTATGTAGAAGCAAGAAAAAGATGCAAGGAGAAGCAAATGCAGCCTTGATCAGCGATGTAAGTTGTGTGGATGCGTCCCACCCCCCCCCCCTTCAGCATTATTTAGGGTAGGCGTATGCCTGTTCCCTCACTTTGAAAGCACCCCCCTATCTCACGGCTGCCAACATTTCTGAACCCCCCTTTTGCAGGTTTTTCCTGCCTTAGAGACCCCTCTAAATCCGGAACACCGCTCAATGTGACCCCCTATCTATGATATTTGATTTGATTTGATTTGATTTATTTTTTAAAGATGTTTTATAACCTCCTTTTTAAATTTCTCAGGAGTCCAAAGAGAGAAAGAGAAAAGAAAAATTTATTTCTCAGGAATCCAAAGAGAGAGAGAGAGAAAAAACACCCCTTTTTCAAAGAAATCTCCAGGTGGAAAGTCGTATACACCCCCTTTTTTTACAATTCTGAGGCTGGATTTTGTTGTGCGAATAGTACCCCTTTACCAGAGATTTTGGGAACACGAATGCGGTTCCTCCGACCCCTTAATGCTGTTTTCTTTTTGCTTTTATTTTTCTATTTTGTCTATACTTCTATTTTGATGAATTAAAAAAAAGAATGTGATATATTATTTTGTAATTAACATGTTTCATGAAAGCTGTGTCTTGTTGCCTCCGTCTTTGTAATGTTATAAACTCAGGTTCATAACACAGTGAGCCCCCATGTTAAAGAAGAAAAATAGAAACTATTCTATTAAAATAGATAAAATATATGTATATATATATCCATGTACATGTACATTGTATGTAGTCCAATGGAAACATGCTAGTTGCTCTCTTGCTGCAGTGTTTGGATAAAGTGATTTTAATTGTGATGTCTATCTGTCTATGATGTCCTAGGCCCTACCATTCATGGAATACGAACTCCACAGACAAATGATGAATAAACTAAAGGTGAGCTATATATAACACTACACATCAGGGGAGTGTTCCACAAAGACTAAGGATCAACTTTAAGTTCATGCCACTGGTTGCTCTCATCATTGGTCTCTAAATTATGGTCTTTAGATATAATTTTTTCCTTCAATAATGAATGATAGAAAAATACAAATTCTGTAGATTTGTGACCATGATTTGTACCTCTCTTAAAAGAATAATGCCAGTAAATGTTAAGAGCAAACAGTGGCATAAATGGCCTGCCAAAGTGAAGTCCAACTTAAAGTCGATCTTAGTCTTTGTGAAACACCCCCAGGTTTATTCTTCTAGTAACTTGTATTATTAACTATTACAGTTATTTTGTATTTCTAGATTTGTAGTGGGTTTTATCTGTTGCAGATATTGAACATAAATGGCAGCAGAATTTAGGTCCTGGCCTATTATGTATTCTGTATTTATAATTGCCAAATACTTTGAATTGAAAAATTGAATTGAAAGGAAATTAGGATGAACATGTGGTATTGAGTCTCATATTGTTCTACTTGTACTACGAGGTACATGTGCAAGATGATTTCTGATGAATGTTGATTGATTGATTGATTCTAATTTATTCTATTTCATATCAATTGTTTGCACAATAAAGCACATAGTTGGCAAAGTAAGTTCAAAATTATGAAATGAAACAGGAACCTACTGGAAAGCATAACATGTTTTTTGTAGGTTCCCAAGAATAAATCTAATATGAACATTATTTTCATAAATCATTTTTTTAAAGTGTCTTAATAATCACAGTGAAAATAGATATTATATAACAACATATTTTCATAAACCATTTTAAAGTGTCTAAATAAAAAATCAAAAGGTACGCAAGAACAGAATGACAAAACGGGACTCAAAGGACAGGAAACTGACATAATAAGATATACAGGACATGACAAAACAATTCATAACAGGACAAGATGAAACAGGACATGACAGGACAGGACAAAACAAGACATGACAGGACAGGACAAGACAAAAATACACTACAGAAATTAGAAGAAAAGAGAGAGGGTGAAACAGAGGAGATGTGAGAGGTCTTCCCATATCTTAGAAGTGTAAATATCTAAGAGGAATGCCTTCATACAGCCTTACACTGCCCATGATCATACAATGCATGTATGTACTTCACTGACTGTCTCCCTGCTTTAATAGTAATCTCATACATGTATGTCTATTGGAATAAGATTTTTTTTAATACGGTGCAATTCTCACTATTTTTTTAGTTTTACAAGTGTCTATTTTATGTTGACAGTATTGAAGTTTATAAGCCCGGTTCGGCATATGAATAATTTTTTCACCTCTCTTTTGTTTGATCCTCCACTTGAGGAGGGAAAACAAAAATTTACAGCAGACTTCCTAATATTCCTAGTATTCATCGACTAAAATCAAATAAATGTGACAGAAAGTTTTAGATTGGCTTACCAAATACTGTACCATATATTGACTTAAAAAGGACGACAAAAGAAAATAATAATGATAATGTGTATTAATTTGATTGTAGCAACCACATTGTTATTCATACATTTATGTATCAATCTCTACAGTATCTCTGACTTTGTATAATTTATTTTAACCATTGTATTTTTATTTTTATTTGAAATCCAACCTTGGGTTTTTGTTGCAATAAAGAAATAATAATGAAGATGAAAAAATGTTTTCTGTGAAGTGCATCGCTCTGTGATAGTTATTCTTCCTTTGCCTTCTTTATATTTGGTTTGCAGGTCAAAGGAATGAACTGTCTCTTTGGGCTCAAGGTTCAAGTCACGGTTGGAGAGACATTGCTTGTCGGAACAGCAGTAAGTTATCGATGTTCCCTTTTTTTTTTATTTGAATAAGACAATGATCTCGATAAGTATTCATTACAATTAGGGTGCAGTCAGTAGTATTTGCAATTTGTGTGTGTCAATATTAAATAACTTGCAAACTATAATACTCCCCAGGGAGTGGAGCATCTGTCCTGTTTGGGGATTAGCAGTTGAATGCAATAACCAGGATAATAATAATTACAATGTAAAGTGCTTAAGAATGTAGTACTAAACGCTAGACAAATGTTTCCACAGTGTATTATTGATGTTATTAAGTTCTTTTTGAGATAATGTTGATTTGGGGGTCTTTAGTCAGCAGTGTATATACTTGTACTATTCAAGTTGTGTTCACATTTGTTTTTACAGACTGCAACTGGTGTGTTCCTGTCTGCTCTTCCTCCACCATCAGCTCTAAGACTGTCCAGACAGGTGAGACTGCCTAATGCAAGCTTGTATTCCCATGGTGTATGTGTAAACACAGCCATACATTGTGGTGGCGATGAGTAGATTGTTAGATCAGTAGTATGGCATGTATGAGGAAGGAACCTCGTAACGATACAGTGGATACGCCACCGGACTGTCACAAGGTCCCTGGTTTGAGTCCTGCCGGGGCACTAAATGTCCTTTGACAAGACATTGATCTACACTTGCCACACTCGACCCAGGTCTAGCTTTGCTTGATCTGATACAGGCTTCTCGGCTACTCGACCACTCAGAATCACAAATGGTATTTACAGTTAACAACAAAATCATTAATACCCCTTGTAAATTTGATGTTCTTTGCTTTTTTGTGAAAAATGAAAGCCGTACTGGTGGAATTAGGGCTGTAAGTTTTAACATGTCACGTTCTCACAAAACATAAATTTGAACAATGAATTTTTTGCTTACTTGAAAAAATTACATAACTTGGTAGGGTATGAATAACTTACTTGTTAAAGACACATAGTAGTCAGCTCTCATGAGGAATTCAACACCGTTCAGGTGTTTACCCTATAACAGACGTTGTCAATCACCAGGGGGGTGTTTTACAAAGATCCTAAGTAGAACTTAACTCTAAGTTGGACTTAAAAATTATGGACAGCCATTGGAGTCTTAAAATGAAATATATTCAAAAGCAGAAATTCAAGTATTTTCGACTTTTTATAAATTCCACATCCAGAACATGAAATCTCCTTGATGATAGAAAATATGAATGATTTGAATAAACAATTAATGCCTTTCAAAATAACTTTTACAAAATATTTTCAAAGATGCTAATGGCTTTCCATATTTTTTAAGTCCAACTTAGAGATAAGTTCAACTTAGGATCTTTGTGAAACACTCCCCAGGATTAGCCTTCATTTTTATGACCAACAGGCCTTATGTAATGCTTTGTATTCCCTCATCCATTCCTCCACAAGGTAAAGTCAGTATCTCACTTTTCCCTCACCCGAAGACTCTCCGAGAGACAAAAGGGTATTTCTTGATGGACCTACGGGTTTGCTGTGTGCAGACTTGTAAACACGTTTATTGTATTTCCACCAAGTCTGGTGTCAGCGAATCATGGCCTTCTGCACATGGAAACTGACGACCCACTCCCTTTAATTGTTTTTCTTGACAGGGACCCGTTGGAGCTACAGACAAACGTCTTCAGGCATTCCAGGAGAGGCTTGATAACATTACAGCTAAAAACAAAGAGACGTATGGCCTGCTCGATCTACAGGTATATTGTATAAATCATTAGAATGACCTGGGGGGTGTTTCACCAAGATCCTAAGTTGGACTTAACAATTATGGAAAGCTGTTAGCATCTTTAAAAATATTTTATAAAAGTTATTTTAAAAGGCATAAAATATTGAATCAAATAATTCAAATTTTCTATTATCATGGGAGATTTCATGTTCTTGATGTGGAATTTATGAAAAGTCTATAATACTTGCATTTTTGCTTTTGAAAATATTTTATTTTAATGCTACAAATGGCTCTCCATAATGTTTAAGTCCAACTTTGAGTTATGTTTGACTTAGAATCTTTGTGAAACACCCCCCTGTAGAATAATAATAATCGTAATATTGATGATAATATGGGCAATTCCAAGGTTTGTGAAATCAGAAGGAAAAAAATAGACACATTGTGACATAAAACTTGTATGATTTGTAAATTGTAGCCATTTTTGTAACAAGAATAGTTGTTGATTTGTAAAAATTATGCATTTTGTTGATTGTGATTCAGTTATTTCGCAGCATGAGACGTTCGCGAACCTGAAATGCGAATTTGGCAAACACTTCATGCATCAAAAAGTTACTAATTTAAAATAATTTGTCCCAATATGTGACCAGCAGCATCAGAAGTATACTGGTACATCAATTTGGTGGAGAAGCTACATTAATAGTAAGAATTGTTTAATAGATTATCACAGAATCTTTCAAGGTACATTTCCCTCTCTAATGACTATAGTCAAACTGGTTACAGCACCTACTTTTAGCCTTGACTAGAGTGCCTACAGTATGTAACCTTTTCTTTTCACAGGAAAGCACAGTTGAAGTGGATGGCAAACGTCAATCTGGCGGAAAAGCTAAAACTTAGAATTGTTTAATAGATTATCACAGAATCTTTCAAGGTACAGTTCCCTCTCTAATGACTATCGTCAAACTGGTTACACTTACAGCACCTACTTTTAGCCTTGACTAGAGAGCCTATGTAACCTGGGGGTGTTTCACAAAGATCCTAAGTCTGGCTTAACAATCAAGAAGAGCCATCTATAGCCTTAAAATGAAATGTATTAAAAGAGAAAAAATCAAGTATTTTAGACTTTTTATAAATTCAGTATGAACATGAAATCTCCTTGAAAATAGAAAATGTGAATGATTTGAATCAACATTGTATGCCTTTTGAAATAACTTTACAAAATATTTTCATAGAGGCTAACGGCTTTCCATAATTGTTAGGTCCAACTTAGAGATAAGTTCAACTTATGATCTTTGTGAAATAACCCCTTTATCTTATCGTAGGAAAGCATAGTAGAAGTGGATGGCCTACAACAGAACCATCCCAGTGAAGAGTCTGTTGACCCTCTGTTGGCCTCGGGTCACAGAGAGACGTTCGTCATTGAGGTTAGTATACAGGATTGGATTGTTTTTTTACATGAGGTCTACAGGTAGTTCTCTTCTGCAAATTGTCACTTCTGGTGATTTTCTTCTTCCTGTTTAGCTACTTTCTTGTAGTAACGATATAATATATCAGAAAAAAGAGAATTTGTGGAAAAATAAGTCATTTTTAAGTTTTCAAAATTTTGTCAAATTGAGTTTTATTTAACTTTAAAGTATTCCTTTTGTAGAATCCAAAATACTGTAGTTAATGTAAGTCCTTTAAAATCAGTGATTGAGATTTCTCTGTTTGATGTATTTTAATTAGATTTTCAGTGCCAATCTAAATTGTTATTTGAAGATAAAAATTATTAAAAATCACCAACCCTAAATTCTGTTGTGTGTAATGATTTAGTTATAGCTGCTTTACTAACTTGTGTAGAGATTGTCTGTAAATACATGATCGGTGTGACTGTTATCTGAATATGTATACTGTTAACATGTTAGAGATGTTCATGCATGGGTATATATTATGGTCGTTCGTGAAGCTGGCTACTTGGCGAACACTGAGCCAACGGATATTACGCTCCCGTATGGACGTACGCATAAAGGGACACTAGTACCCACAGGAGCGTAACACCTGTTGGCTCAGTGTGCTGCCCTCTATATACCCAAGCATGAGCAACTTTAACATGGTAAACATGTCTATGGTTTGTCTTTGTTACAGATTGATGACATTGAAGATACTGAATCTGTTATTGAACTCTTTGATCAGGCTTTGCCACAAGGTACAGTTAAGTACAAAATATATACCAGTATTTGGGGGGGGGAAATAGAATATTTGGAAGAAAAAATTTGGGGAGGGGGATTATTTGGAGGGAAAAAAAAGCACATTGAAAAAATATGCTTCTTAGATACTTCTTACATAATAACGAGACCATTGTAGTTTATATTGAAGATGATGATGTTAATAATGATAATAATAATGATAGTAACATTTAAATATCGCTTTATAGATTTAAGATTTAAAATTATGTTATTGGTCCATGGATGCAATTATTACACAGAAATTTTACTTCCAATGGCTTTTTTGACAGTAAAAATACAAATGATTGAAAATAAAATACAAAATGTAACAATAGAAAATGATGTACATAAATATGGATAATTATTTATAATGTGCATGTACCGTGCGTCATAAATTACTTTGCCTCATAATATTTCCTGTCAGTTCCCCCCCCCCCCCCCCTCCCATCACGCTCCATCTGCTTGGACCCGATCCACAGTCTCCAGTTATCCGTTATCCGTTTAATTTATACAATATTTCTGAGCACTGCTCTATTATTACTCCGGCATTGGCCAAGCTACCCAGACAAGGCGCTCTCCAAGATATCTTTGGTATTCATTGATATGAATGTTTGATAGCCATACTGTACATAATCAATTTATTTATGTTCATGTGTATACAATCTGATCTTACTATATCTTGTTAATAGAATCTCGGAGGATTTGTATTTAAATTTAATACTCTTTTCAAACATACAACTTTTTTTTTCATAATACTCTTTGACGTTGATTGTGTTCATTTTAACAGGATTTCATAGTTGCAGTACAGAACTGTTCCCTGGTAATTTTGAACCAACGCAGCACATACAGGTAAGATTTTTTTTTAAGAATAAACCAATTCATAGAATATAAAAGACACCTTTTAATATCTCTGTAGAACTTTATATTTATCATATGATCCCGCCAGCTGATATTCAATGCTGCTGTCATATAGAGCACAATATATACAAAATCTCTCTTTTAACAGTGACAGATATTTCTTCTCTATAATTTTACTCTAATTTGTCAAAAATTGATAAACTATCCACATTTGTTTACATTTTAGAAAAGATATCAATGGGAAATGGTCGTCAGTTTCCATGGGCAGTAGATCATAATTCGCTAACACCAGACTCGGTGGCAATACCATTGGTGGGTGTAAAAGTCTCGCACACAGCAACCCGTGTTCCCATCAGGAAATTCCCCCCCCCCCCCCCCCCAGTCTCTTAGAGAGTCTTCGGTTGAGGAACATCCAAGATAATGACTTTTCCATGTGGGGCGATTGGTTGAAAATGCAGAGGATTACATATATTAAAGGCCTGTTTGTGATAAACCGACAGAAGTCTAATCCCGGTGGTTGATAAACAACTGTTATTGGGTAAACACCCGAATGCGACCATCCAACTGATAGTAGAACCTGTGGCCATCAATACAAGATAGCTACATGTAAGAAGCAAGTCAACTCAAAGCTTAGACATGGCTCCTTTTCTCAGAGATGTACATGTATCAATTTTTTATTTATTTTTTTTTATTTATTTATTTATGCATGTTCACAATTTCACAATTCATTAATATAAGATGACAAATCATTTTCAATTTTACAATACATTTGAATTAACTTCACGTGAAAAAGAATATAACATTGTTTTATCAAAGACAAGTTGCAACTTATATACAGTTTGATGAATGAACACACAAAGGTGATGAAACATAAGCAAATAGAGCTTGAATCGTTACAACACCTTTCCAATGAATGGAACAATCTCTCTTTTGCAGTTGTGGAGAGCACCTCACTAAATAGCTTTAAATCCGATTTGTCAAAATTTCGGTCGTCAAGAAAAGATCAATTTGACCCAGAAGAGTCCTTTGCTTGTCCATGTTCGCCAACTGCTGTATAGCGCCACTAAACATGTGTCCCAATGTGGATTCTTCATCCTAATGTCAACGAGAGGCAAATAAGTTTATAACTTTAAATGCCTACTTCCAAGGTATATTTCCAAGGTAAATGTTTTTTCTTTCTACATGAAATCACTATCCAGACGATCACCATGATGAGACGAGCCTCTCTGACGGATACAAGCGGAACAACAAAGGTTGTGAGTGGCCTTATACAAGACATGATGCAGGTTAGTATTGTTACACTTTTACATGTACATGTAGTACAGGGAAGCCTACTGTTTATAGCAACCACCTGTATAGAAAGAGAGCACCTGTCCATTAAGACTGGAAATCTTTTTCCTTTGGATAATGTTTCTCATTGAAATATGAACATAAGTGATCTGTACATGAAATCCACCTGCTTATTGAGACCGCTTCTCTTAAAGGTACTATGTCCCATGTGCAGGCCAAAAAAATGAAAAGGTTAAATTCCAATGGCATTTGAAAGATAATACTAATTTAGAACCTCCCTCAAAACGAAAGTGCTTGAAAATATCTTTAAGTGGGAAAATAACAAGCATTAGTTGTCGAATCGACTTAGGTGATTGCAATCAGGAAAGAAACATCCATAAATTTGAATATTTTTAATAGTTAACCGTCTGTTGGTGAAACCATGTAAAGAGACTTGATTAACCTTTTTTTCTTTTTAACAGGGAATCTGTTTCAAGCTTCGTAAGCTTACCCCGTGCTGTCTGAGTAAGATGAACATTGAGTTTGCACTGGACGAAGATGAAATCATTCAGGTATGTCTACATGTATATAAATTGATACCACTTGTTGTAAGAGAGAAGTCAGTTGTATTATTACATATGATAACAACAAGCATTTTTTTTAAACTGTTGATGATAATAGTCAAAATTGACAGATTGCCATAAAACACTAATCAACAACAACACAACTGTACTTTCTGCATGCATTTTCTTTCCTGTTTTTTCTCTTCTTTTTAACCCTTTCTTACTTTCTCTTTCACTCTCTCTCTCATTCTTTCACTTTCTGTATTTGTCTTTCTCATTTACTCTCTCTCTTCCCCCTCTCTCTCTCTCTTTTCCCTCTCTGTTTATTTATTTCTCTCATCTATTCCTCTGTATGTCTCTATGCCCCCTCCTCCCTCTCTCTCTCTCTCTCTCTGTCTCTCTCTTTGCATGTCTTGTATTTGAATGTTTCAGTGATATTTTGTCATTTCTGATAGAATCTAAAAAATAGGTCTTTAGAAATGTCATGTAATATGTGAAGCCTGACATCCAAAGCTGTCGTCCTAATGGCGGACTGATAAACATTAATAAGTCAGAATGACTTTGGGTATCTGTTTCCAGGTCATCGTGACTGTGCCATAGACCAGTGATGGCCTGGTGGTAGAGTCGCTTCCCGGCAAGAAGTAAATGGCAGGTTCAAATCCTGCTGATTCTAATTTTTTTCTGACTTGTTTTCAATCACAAAATCGAGCTTGGGATCTTTATCTACTGGGTCCAAGCAACAACAAAATATTTTCTACCAGTCATGTATCTATATAAGTAAATATTGATTTTTCTGTTTTCATTAATTTTAACCCAACGTTGAATCTGGAACTGTATTGATTATAAAAGTTGAGATTAAAAGGAGGCGCGATGGCTCATTGGTAGAGCAGTGGTCTCCTAACCGGGTGGTCCCGGGTTCAAATTCAAGTCCTTTGGTAAGGCATTAATCCTCATTACCAAGTCCCTCGGAAAGGACTTAAAGCCGTCTGTCTCCTGGCTACTGACAAGCATGCACATGTTTTAATAGCAGTCAGTTAAAATAAACATACAATCAAGTATTAGATTTCTTCTCCTTTCATGTTGATATTTTTCTGCAGATTTGGTTAACAGCAGCAGTCGTAGGCATGAAACCGATTGTTGTTGCTCCTGCTATTCCGATTCACAAAGGTAAATGTAGTGGTATGATATACGGTACATGTATGTGTTCAGTGTTTTTCACTATGCACACATTTCAGCTAGATCAAGCCACCTTGTTATCATTTTGATGACTCCAAAACAGAATATGTATGTATACATGGCCAGACCTCGACTTTATCATCAATGCTAATAAATGATTCGAAAACAAATATCAGCGCATAAAGTTAACAACTTAATTGTCCATAACCCTTGTAAATTTGATGTTTTTGGTGTTTTTAGTAACTCAAGAATGAAAAATGTACTGGTTGAATTAGGGCCTTTATTAAATACTTACTTTTAGATGTAAGCTTTAATATGTCACATTCTCAAGAAACATACATCAGGCTAAATCAATTTTTTGATAAACTTTAAAAAATGACAAAACTTGGAAAGAGTATGATTAATTTAGTTGTTAACTGTGAGGTACTAATAATATGTGTGAATTTTAGGATCAGGAGCTCTTAAGAAAAGGTTTTTTGATGAATGAAAATGTGTATTATGTAACATGGGTTGATGCATGTAGTTTGTAGTGTGGTAATTCTGCACTGTCATGTACATGCACACAGACCTACGTGTCTTGAATTTGGATTCATGGCAATATTGATGTCACACTTGGATAGCTAACTAAATGAAGTTGCATGAAAACTGTATGTTGTGCACAAGTAAAGAAGTTTGAAATCAATATATGAATTAAATATCTTTGAATTGGCAATACAAAGTAGAAGTTATCATCATTATTTTCATTTTGAAAAGTGTCAATTCTTTTTCTTCTTTTTTTTTTTCTTTTATTTTGGGGGAGGACATTTTGTAATTGTCATTGATACAGGGTCATTTGATACATAATTATACTTCACTTTGTAACTACTACGAATATGTAAATGAAAAAAACATATAACTGTTCAAATTTGAGGTGACATAGTCCAAGGGGAGTGTTTCACAAAGACTAAGATAGACTTTAAGTTGGCAGGCCGTTCATGCCACTGTTTGCTCTCACCATGATGATCTTTAGATGATATTTTTTCCTTCAATAATGAATGATCAAAAAATAGAAATTCTGTATATTTGTGACCATGATTTGTATGTCCCTTAGAGACCAATGCCAGTAAATAGTGAGAAAAACAGTGGCATGAACGGCCTACCATAGTTAAGTCGAACTTAAAGTCGATCTTAGTCTCTGTGAAACACTCCCCTGGTCTATTCAGTCATTCCTTTTTAAAACTGTACATGAAAGTGTGAATACGGATAGAATTGAAGAGAATATTATTGCCTTCATTAGGACCACTTAAACCCTCTGCTGATTCTGAAATGATGTTTTCAATGGAAGAGGTTTCCGAGACTGCAGGCTCATCACCATCAGCCAAAGGTACTTAAAGCCCCACTGCGCTACTTATAGCTACTTGCGCCCTCTTTATAGCAAACAATGCCTAAACGGTGACCATTGGTCTCCCATGATCCCTTTTTCCTTACGTTTAATTGAGATCTGATTTGATGAGATAACCACCTGTCAGTGACCATGCAGGGAGGTCTAATCCCTAATATGGGATTGGTGATATTGGACAGTTATCAAACCAAATACATGTAGAGTTTGATTTATTGAATTGTCTGATTTTCTATTGTTATTGATGGTGCACATAACATCAGTCTGTGTAATTTATATGATACTTACTTGTGTACTGCTGTGTACACATGTAGATATTTTGTGCAAATCATTTAATAATTGGAATAGGGTAAAGCATTACGGTAAACAAAATTGTCTGTTTCTAGACATGCAGTGACATTTCATGCATGGTTTTGATTGTTTGTGTTTGTTTACTGTGGTGATTTTTTTTCTTTCTTAGTGAAATATTAAATTTGTGTGAAATAACTGCATAGAGAATCGTGATCAGAACGTGATTTCACTCTTTTTTTGATTTTTTTTTTCCTTCCAATTAATATTTTGAGTCCACATAGAATCACAGTGTATTGCATTTTTAGAGAAAAATTGCTCAGGATCTTCATATTTTTTTTTAAAGTCTAGCCCTAAAGTGAATTATTCCAGGAATTTGAGAATAAAATGTCACAAAGAAAATCTTTGTAGTCTGAATGAAATTCTAAAAATATCAGGAGATCTATTTGAACACATAATTTTTTTTTCAAAGGATAGGGGAATACCTCTTTTGACCCTCAGAACTGATGCAAATACCTTATCACTATGAAATTTATCATTAAAAATAACATCACAATGCTTTTTTAACTATTGTTCCGATTCGCCATTGGGTTACTTTACACGTGACTTACATGTAACCGTTGTATACCGGTATGCAAAATACTATGTCTTTTCTTTCAAAGTTGATAATGATCATGGATGTTTTTTATATCAATTCTTCATTCCAAAGCTGGGGCATCTTCTGAGAGTGGGTCAATGCAGTTGGAGAGAAAACTTAAAATAGCGGTAAGAGACAAGTACTTGCAGATGTATTGAGCCATTTGAGAACAAAATGAATTTCATTCATAATAAATAATAAGATCAATATATGTTGTGCAGCTACTAAACAAATATACTCTACTGCGCTATCATGAAAACAAAATTCCTTACAGTGCTACTTTATAGACACTAGCATAATTCATTGTTAGTAGTAGCAGAAGAAGTAGTAGAAGTAGCATTAGCAGTAGTAGTAGTAGTAGTAGTGGTAGTAGTAGTAGAAGTAGCATTAGCAGTAGCAGTAGTAGTAATAGTAGTAGTAGTAGTAGTAGTAGTAGTAGTAGTAGTAGAAGTAGTAGTGTTATTAATAATAGTAATATTGTTATTATTATTATTATTATTATTATTATTATGGTCATCAGCATTATCATCATCCTCATCGTCATCATTATTTTCATTATAATTGTCATCATCATCATCATCATCATCATCATCATCATCATCATATTTATTGTGGATATACATGTCATCATCATCTTTATCATTTTCAGAGTAACAAGGCATGGAGGCCAGAAGTTCTGATCACTCCTCTAGCGATTATCCCCGGGGCTACCATCGAGCGTTACCTGGGCAACTTAAACATCTTCTTTGTGAGAGAAACAACATCAGTCAGAGAGGTAAGCTTATTTGTGCTCCCCCTTCTTACATGTAATTAAAGGTACACTACACTGTATTACAAAGTTTTGGTATGGCGTCATGAATTTGGTTTAAATTAACTTATTGGAAACATATGCGATTTTACAATATTCAATGATCGTTGTCGCGGTTGAAATCGAGCCTAAAGTGATGAAATTGTAAATAATAAAATTTGTATGTGGTATACCTCTCAAGACTGATATTACTTTAGCTTTAAAACAATATTTATTCACTATAATCGATCAAAGTGCTATTCCTGTTTGGAAATTATATATCAGAACTCTGAGATTTTCATGGTCGCAGCTACCATGGAGTGGCCATACGCGCTATTTGAAATATTTGAAATTTACCGGGAGCACTGGTATATTTTGATTATTCAATTTCTCAAAAGCAGAAGTGTCTTAGGGGCTTAATTTTCTAGTGCTTATAATATATCCACAGGGGCATCCAAATATATCAACATCTTAAAGAATTATTATCCATCCAATTTTCAAAATTTCCCAAAACTCTGCATTACCTTTAACTCTTTCCCAGTGGCAGTGCATCTAAAAATTTATTTTTATATTTCTTCAATCAAGAGCAGCAGCTACCAATGCTCTTTCACCTCATTTATTCTTGATTCTTTTCCCTTAATTCTTTGTGTTCATAGAGGAACATTAACACTCATGTATTTCCATTTCCTCCTTATAGTCCGGTGGTGTCAGCGGTTTCATGCGTAGCTTCATCGCCGAGGTCAACGCCATCGTGAGACGTCACGTCGCAGCGCTGGGTGGAAACGCTCTTGTAGCTTACGCTCTCATCGATTGCATCATGGAAGATAACCCCCATAAAAACCAAGTGAGTGATTCCTCTCAAACATTCCTTTTACATACTTCCGAAGCATGTCATTCTTTATAAGCTTAAAGGGGAAACCCACCCTGATATTGAGTTGGTTTTGATAGTAGCAGAAAAATAAGAGAAACCGGTCAGTGAAAAATTGGGCGAATACCGATGATATACATGTATATACATGTATATATATAAGAAAGTTATGGATTTTTGAAGGTGCAATCCATCAAACACGAATTGGCAACTCTATGACATATCTTTCGAGCTCCCCTCCCATTTTCGCTGTTCTAAAAAACGTCAAAAATCATTATTTTCCCTTTAAAAAAAATTCATTCATACATTCATAATTATGATTATTGCATATATGTAATTATACAAGCCCTGTATGAAACAAATCTACTCTGTCAAAAATAACTAAGAAATTGAAATTTTTTGAAATTTTCTGTATTCTGCAAATTGGAAAGGAGCTCGCTCAAAATGTCAACAGAGCATATGTGGGGTCATTGAAAGGTCATGTAATTTTGTTTTCTTCATTTTCCCGTACAGTGCCAATGCTTGATTCATGTCTGTGGAGATGCTGTTCACATCCAGTACGAGGCCTCGTCCATGTTTCTTGATGGAAGCAGTGGAAAGAACTCGCCCCACATTGCCGCTGCGCCTGCCACCCGAAGCTAAAACAAACCAACAGTGCCACTCACAACCGGTACGAAGCCTCGTCAATGTTTCTTGATGGAAGCAGTGGAAAGAACTCGCCCCACGTTGCCGCTGCGCCTGCCACCCGAAGCTGAAACAAATCGACGGTGCCGCTCACAGCCGGTTCAAACATCCAAGATTGCTATCCCATGCAAGTAGTGCAAGAAGTCTCTCAATTTGGCCAAGGTTCATGTGCCTCAGAACTTAGAATAGTGAAAATATTCACTTCTCCAGTATGGGATGGCATTAACACCCGGTTCTAGGAATTAATGTTACTTCCTGATGTAAGCAGCGCACATTGCTTCATGTATATTTTCTGCCACTCCAAGCTCATTCAGCCCGCCAGCCCTAACAATTACTTCTACTTTTGCTGGTGGCGTTTACATCTTGTTGCAACAACAATGACTGCTGTCTCGTGAAAGTTGGAGAACAAAGTTCACTCATGTTACAACATCTGTCGGTCTTATCCAAAAGTGCAATATTACTTACTTCTCCATTCATAAACATTGTTCTCGCTAGGAAGTAAGAGGGGTTCTGGGTTCGACCCCAGGGCTAGCCCCCACTTAAATATGTTGGATGATTGCATGTACAGTTTACGACTAAATTGTTCATACCCCTTGTAAATTTGATGTTTCTTATGTTTTTCATAACTCAATTATTTAAGGGTGGACTGGTTGAATTAGGGCCATTGTTGAATACTTTGAGATGTTAGCTTTAATAAGTTACCTTCTCAAGAAACATAAACTGGGACAAATAAAGTTTTCATGTACTTTAAATATAACAAAACTTGGTAAGAGTATGAATAATTTAGTTGTTAACTACATTGTGACATCCCCCACCCTCTTCAAATCACTTAAAATCAGTCAAGATTAACACAAAAATGAGCATCGGTATATCCACCTAATTCACAGGAGTTGAAGGTTGTTTTGTTTGTTTTACCCGAATGCTAAGAAATCATGTGTTTGCTTCTAAGTAAGCAACCAGGGTACCAACATCTTTAAACCCTCTCTGAGGGATTTGGTAATAAGGATCACTACCTTACCAAAGGGCACTAGTGCATCGACTTGGTTAAGAACCTGGGACCTCCCGATTGAGAGACCACTGCTCTACCACTGAGCCAACGTACCTCATATACGTGTAAGACTCCAATTTCATTAAGGCCCGCCATTATATTGCCTTAAACATTTTGGGTTTGGAAATGTATCCAGTAGGACTATCATTAGTAACATGGTGATTGGACTACTTTAAATTTAAAGTCTGTAAATAGAATTTGATGTAAAAATGTATCATATCTATACAGATAAAGATTGAATCTATATGCCACATTCTGGCTCTGTGCAGGCGATGTATGACACAGCACATCAATATAACCGCTGCATTATTAATATTTGTGTAATGTATATAGGTAACTCCATGAATTAGGGACCCACTTTGTGACATTTTTGGTGTCCCTGTTACATAAGGAATCCACACGTATTGTGGCTCTGAGTAAAGACTTAAACAGTGGAGGGAGATTGTTAAGTGATTCTAGGCATGAGGATGCAATAGGATGCTTGGAATTTGGAAATCACTTAACAATCTCACTCCACTCTGTTTAAGTCTGTCAGAGCCACAAATATGTGTGGGTTCCTTATGTAACAGGGACACCAAAAATGTCAGTGTGGATCCCTAATTTATGTATTGTAACTCTTGCCCAGAAATTGATCACTGCCGAGTGCTTTAGTGATTTAGATGCATGTATTATGGAATCACATTATATTGAAGGGACTTTGGATATCAATACCAAGCCTAATTAGCTCTTAGTACCTGGGCTCGTATTCAATTCAATACAAATGTCAGAAATATGAGTATTTTGCAATGTTTTTGGCTTAGGTGAAATACTTAGCCAACTTTGGTATTCAGTTGAAGCTTTTGGCTAAATATTTTACCCTAAGTTTGATACATCTCCTGAGCAGACTTTAGCCAATTATTTTGAGGGCCTCGATTGGAAAGCATATGCCCAGTTATCTTAAGATACACACAATTATAAGAGATTGCATTTAATGCGACGCAATAATTGTGCATTCAAGGAATAAACCCTACTAGGTACCCACTTACTACCTCTGGGTAGAGTGTGGCAAATGTAGATGAATGTCTTGCCAAAATGACGTTAGTGCTGTGGCAGGGATCCATTGGAACCCTGTACCTTGTAGTTCACAGTCCAGAGACTTATCCTTTGATAACAACACCTGGATGTATATCTGCTCTAAATTTCTCCTGACCTCTGGGCCATTTGCATAAAACTTACTATTGATGGTAACTTTGTCGTTAATGGTAACTTTCATAAAAACCTTGATTTGATTTGCTGTTGGGTAATGTTGGCATGGTAGTTAATATTGATGGCAAAGTTACCATCAGTGGTAATTTTTATGCAACAGGGGCACAGGTACACACTGTTAAGTCCATCTAAATGTTGGTTGAAAGGCAGAAAGGTAATTCCAACGCTGCAGTATTATTTACAAAAGAAGTAAAGTGAAGAAGAACAATAGTAAAGGTTGCAAAAATCTTGTATTGTTTTATGTTTATTCTTGAATTGCATTTCTTTGTATATCAGTTGTAAATACATGTACGAACATACGAGTATGCATGTAATGTCCATAAACACTGCATGTCGATCGTAGCTGGACAATAAATGAGCATAAAAATATCAAACAACTGGCTGTTCTTCATATTTGCTTTGTTGAAAAAAGTTGGCATTCACCAAGTGGGTTGAGAAAGGACACAGATTCATGGAACACAAACTGTAAATTCAAATTTACCATAATTTCATTTTATCCTGAATTTAGGGGGTGCATATTGTGGTCCTCAAGCATCATAGTTCTTAGAACTTCATTAATCCCCTCCCTCTCCCCTTAAAGGTATAGACCAATTTTGGAAACGTCCCCCTCTCAAAAAATGAAATGGAAGCTCAAATTACCAATCATGTGAAAGAATATGTTTTGACTATGACTAATACGTGATGATACAAATTTTGCCGGGAAACCGCCTACTAATTGATATATTTGGTAAATAAGTTATCTATCCGACCTGGAAAGATATCGCGTAGTCCCATATACATCTTTCTGTGTACAGTGCTTGTAACTTTACCAAGATTAGGCCAAATTTCTAACCCTTTTGATGATTCCAGAACCTTGCAGTACACACCAATACTCATATTCTAGATGATCAATCTTTTCTGATCGATTCCACAACGTTTCTTTCACAATGCAAATGCATGACCAGAACTGGTCTATACCTTTTATCTCTCTCTCTCTCTCTCTCTCTCTCTCTCTCTCTCTCTCTCTCTCTCTCGCTCTTCAAGTTTGTGCAACCCCTTCATTAAGTACCACCCAGAACATTCTCTCCCCACCCCCTCCCCCCATCCAAGTTCACCACATTACATTAATAAACTGCTGCAGTTTATCACATCATATCTAAAGCCTTTATAACCAAATTGTCGTCTGCGTCAGCGTCAGCGTACTTCACATTAGAAAGCGTCCTCCGTCAATAGAAAGCAGCGTACCAGTCACACATCTTGAAGTATCCGACACCAAATATTCGGTTGCCTTGACGACCTCATCCACAGTCCCGTGGCGACCAATGGGATGCATTGACTTGGACCATGTGATCACTTGGGCGTCGCTCTTCCCGAGGTTTCGGTAGAGAGGAGTTAAGATGACGCCAGGACTGTCGGAAGATGGAGAATGGAAAGAAAATGTGAAGGAATATACTTTTTTATGAAATAATCTTAACACAAAGGAAATACTTTTTGATCATTCGGGCGTCGCTCTTTTAGAGGTATTGGTAATAAGGAATTAAGATGACGCCGGGGCTGATGGGGAACATGTATTGTATTTTATTCAGGCAATCAGTAAAAACCAAACGTCTTGGGATGCAGAATATGTTTGCAAAAACCCAAACAGGGCTGCATTCCCAATACAAATGATAACGAGCAATCAATTGTGACAAAATACGTGATCATAAAAAGCGAGATAGGAAACAAAGAAATACGAAACATGAATTAAAAACACACATTCAAATTTTAAAGCATGGAAACTTGAAACTGGTGAACAAATTATAAGAAGAAAAAAATATTTAAGAGTTAAGTATTAAATTGCTTGAAGGTGTCATATATTCGGGTAGTATTATTTCAGAGAGATTATGAGTAGATGAGTTATAATTTATAATGGCAAACAATTCAGGAAAATAAGTATATTCTTTCTACTCACTTGAGAGAATTAACTCTGACGCCGTAGGGTCCCAGTTCTGAACCAGGGAAAGGGGAGAGCGGATTGAGACATGCATCAGTGAGAGGGTGAGAGAAACGCAGATGGAAAATAATAAACAGAGTGATCGAAAATAAGGGAGAGAGAGAGAGAGAGAGCGGAGAAGGAGAGACGGAGCGGAGAAGGAGGGAGAGAGTGGAGAAGAGGGAGAGAAATAGATGGCAAATGGAAAGGAGACGAGTGAGTGAGAGAGAGAGGGTGTCGAGAAAGAGGGGAGATCGAAAGAAAAGGGGGCGGGGGAGAGAGAGATGAGATTGACATGCGTTTGCATGGTAACCTTAAAGGCCTTCCTTCACTAACAGTTCGCCCCAAAACATATAAAATACAAACACTAATTAAATTAGATTCCAGAACCTTAATTCATCATCCATTCATTGTATCGGTCTCGATATGTATGATAGAGGATATATTTATTTTACGCGATCGCAAAGGCCTTTGACAAATCAACCTCGACAGCTTCATTGGGGACTTTTAGATTTGCGTGGACTGATACGTATGACGTCCATTCAAGGCAGTGCATTAAAAGGACGTCAATCGTAGCAATCCCCATTGTCTTCGTGCGAATCTAAAAGTCCCTAATAGCTGAAATGTGCGAACATTAACATGACGTATTACATAAGCCAAACTGGATTTCTTTGGGATATGTCCTAGAGTATTGAAATTGCCCTTGAATGGATTTCTCGAAAGTTTTTATGATTGTGTCTAGTCTTGTTTCGGAAAATATATTCACTCATTGCCGTTTTCTACTTACCAACTGCAAGGCTTTTTGTGAACTGATCAAGAGCGACCTTCGATATTGAATATGTAGGGTTGTAGTCGCACTGTTATAATAATAATAATAATTTGGATATTTATATAGCGCCGGTATCCGCCAGGCTCTGATGCTCATGGCGCTTTACATATTACAATCACAAACATCACTTTCTTAACTAAAATAAAAGATGGAATATCAAATTGATAGCAGCGAATTTGTGGACTACTTTGGGCAAACAGAAATATTTCGTTTCAGAACAACAACAAAATCAGACAATGCATATTTCAGAAATCCATGGACAAAAAAAAAACAGTCAATGGATAGTTCTGCTTCTCATGAAGTTTGATAAAGCTTTTTTGTTTCTTTTTTTAGGGGGAAATATTCTAGTAATAATAATAATAATAATAATAATAATAATAATAATAATAATAGCCTAATAGTCCACTCCAAATTTTATTAAACCGAAACGGAAATTCTTTTTGCCCAATTGATCGTGAGCCCGGCAGCCACTGAGCAGCGCCAGATCGACGTTGCTCTAAGTTGTTGACAACTTTATATAACCACAACAATTATTTTTCTGTGCCACATTGTAATTATCATGGAATAGGTATGCCAAAGGCCAGAAATGGAGTGAAATTTAGGGATTTTGCCACTTACTGTAGTTTTGGAAGCAACACTCGACATGTTCACGACGCAGCCTGAATGAGTATGAGAGAAAGATGATTATTTTAAAATAAAAACAAACGGCTTTATATACTCAAAATCTCTTATTTCTCTCATTATCCCTCCTCTCTCTCACTTTCTCTTACTCTATCTTTCTCTCTCACGCACACACACACACACACACAATCTCTTTCTCGCTCTCTCTCTCTCTCTCTCTCTCTCTCTTCTTTTTCTTTTCTTTTAAAGGTAGAATTCAAACTAAGATACAAGTTTTGTCTGCAAGAATAATTCCTTAGATGCACTATCTGAAGACGGAACTACAGTAAACTAATTACATTTATTAGAGAAAGTATATCGCCACCTTTTGATTCTTTCAAATATGGGATGGCCAGCTTGGAAAGGTAAATAGCTGATCTCAGATTCAGCCTCATGACGTCATCAAAGAAGGTCATCTGCAGGTCATGAAATCTTCCTTTAGCTGGACGACCTGCGTTATTTATCTGGAAATAAAGAACGACGACAAAGACGACGATGATCTAAGTTATATACATAATTTAAACAAAATTATGCTCGAGTCTGACCTGATTGTATCATTATTTATTTATTATCACGTATATAGTTTCACTTCAATGATACAACCAAACAATGGCGTAGCCGGGACTCAACCATTAAGGGCCGGGGCTCTGTTCCAACTCGGAAAAATGAAAATCGAATTTTACAAGCTGATTATGGGCGGGTGTTGGAGGTGGTTCATGTGTCTTACATTTCTCGTCCATTATTCCTTTTTCACTTTTCTCGCTTTCCCTTAATTTCTTTTTCTTTTTTCCTTTTTTTGTTGTTGTTGTTATTCGTTAATATGTATAAACACATCTCTCAGTATATATTTTACTCATTACTAATTTAAAGTTTACGAACATATCCCTTTTAAACGCAATAATGTGTAAGATTTCACCCAACTTATAAAAGTGTACCAAAATGTTATGTCATTCGAAAATGCTCGATTTCGAACAAGAAATCAAAATCAAAAACTTAACACTAAACTAAAAAGTGGAATGATTCTCACAAGGATATCAAGGCGTCCAAACTTTTCTATTGTCTTTGAAAATATCCTTTCTAAGTCTTCATCTTCAGTCAAATCGGCAGCAATAAGTAAAATCTGAAAGTCATGAAAGTCAAAAATAGAAAACTGTTATATTTTGTTTAGGAATGCTAAATAATAATAATAATTTGGATTTATATAGCGCTTAATACGGTATATCGTTTTAAAGCGATTTACAAATATTATTACCCCGGTCATCGGATTCATTCACGCACAATGTTTACCATCTCTACTCCCTAGGGATGATGATGATGATGATGATGATCGCAGCATGTGTATTACGCCATTTGACGTTATACCCTAATATTTGCATCTTTGAACAGCAGTGCATGGGCATAATATTGATCAAGTATATCAGTTCATTGTATGTCTTTTTCTTCTCTCTGTTTAATTGAACAAAAACAAAATCATTATTTGCATCTCAGTTTGGGAGAGTGATTAAAATATCAAGACTAACATAAGACATAAAAGAAGACAGAAAAATATCAGAATATCAATCAATATTTTATCTTTTATACTAAGTTAGTATAAAAGATGACATATAGCAGTAATGCAGGCAGTCAAAGAAGGAATTATATTTCAAACCTCCATTTGCGAAAATGAGTTGCAAGTTTATGTTTGGGTATACAAACTCGTTACGTTCTCAAAATGATGTGATTTGATTTAGGTGTATTTAGCAATACCGTATAAGATAATGTCTATGAAAAACGTATTTGAATTTTTCTGAAGAATCATAACCGGTTTGCAATGGTTGAATTTACAATATATAAAGAACGAGAATGGGTATTAAAAGGAAAAATGCGACCTCGGGATAACGTTCTTTGTTCATTCCGATTTTGGACATAAACCTAACCAAAGCATCGCTTCTATCTTTTTTAGTAGAAATATATACGGGTCTATAATATTATCTCACCTCTTTTTCGCTGAGCCCACGTTCACAGCATGATTTCCCGACATCTTTCAGTTTTTCTGCGTCCCTTCCGGTGAGAGCAAGACGGCAGCCAAGCTCAGCGAAACGCTCTGCGATACCAGCACCTATACCCGAACTGGATCCTGGTAATAATTAGAGTAGATAATGGAGGAAATGAAATTAAACCAAAAAAAAAAAAAATCGCTCGTCAAAAAAGAATGCAATCATAACTCAAGCGCAGATACTTTCGAAAAATCTAGATCCCACCGCTGCCACCATGTATTGAGACGTGGTTCAGGGGGTGATCCACTAACACTACAGCTAAAATCGATCCCAAATGAGATTAATTCGCTCTTAGGCTCAATATCACTCCTAAGAGCAATATAAGGCATTTGAAATTACTTCTAGCAGTGAAATCGCTATTAAGGCTGAGAGTGATCCGGATTGAAAGACACGCGCTTGTGTGGACTATATTAAGTCACGGCAATCCCTTAGGATACATACGTGTACTATCCTACCAATGACTACACACTGCAAGTCATCTCTTGAAATGTTACGTAATCCGAACATGATTTCTATCTTCACCTTAATCCTTCTTCGCGATCTTCATCGTCATTTTTATTATCATCATGATAGTTACTAATTTCGAAATATCAACTCGAGGGCAATTTCAGAAGACTTTGTACATCCCATAGAAATAATGTTCTGCCATAATTAGACGTCATTGTAGTGTTAGCTATTCACAAGTAATGGACAAGCAAGGCTATTGAAATGACTTTCGGTTGAAATTATGTACGAAAATCATTGCAATCGTGTTTCATTACATTTTTATCATCTTCATCACCACCGCCGCCACCACCACCACCACCACCACCACCACCGCCACCACCACCACCACCACTTCCACCACCGCCACCACCACCACCACCACCACCACCACCACCGCCACCACCACCACCACCACCACCACCACCATCACCACCGCTACCACCATCACCACCGCCACCACCACCATACCACCACTACCACTACCACCACCACCATGCACCACTATCATCGTCATCATCATCTTCTTCTTAACACCATCACCATCATCGATCATCGATCATCGATCATCTTCATCGTCATTAAAGAGAGGCGGAGGAAAGTTAGAGAGAAGGAATGGAAGGAAGAGGGTTTTGGGGTAGATTGTGTTTTAATAAAAGAAAAACTCATAATTTCAATTCTGAAAAATAAATTATGTTGGGAAATATGAAACTCATTATTTGTTTAAGTATTCAATCTAATTCTGAAGAAGAAAAGAAGAAGCAATGCTTGTTCTATAGTTTGGGGATGAAATAACTGAGTAATGCGGTAATAATTTCCTATTTTGTAATTGTGATATATTTTAGTCATATACATTGTGAATTATTTTGTACTTATGTTCATTTATCAAATGATAAAAAATGCTTTGTTATAATTATGTTGTAGTTTGTATGAACTAGGACTATATGGAAAATGCCTTGTAGTTCTACATTATGTTATGTACGAACGAGAATTGGAGTTTTGAGAAATAAAATCAATGTTTAAAAAAAAAAATCATCATAATAATGAATACTAATACGAAAAATGTAATATTCATAAACATTGCAACATTATCATCATCGTCATATTCTTCTCCATTGCCAATTCATGATAGCTTATTGTAAATACCGGTATCTTTAAATCAATATCGATGAAGACCAATCGACAAAATGAAATGGAGAAACGCAACAACGCCTTGAATACAGTTTATCCTGTGGCACATGATCAGTTTGAGACCAGGAATAAGTGAATAAACATACAAATCGGACAAACAAATACAAACGGGATTTTTAACCGACAAGAAAGAAGATTTTTAGCCATACCTGTAATGAGAGCAACTTTTCCTTCCATTATGAATATGATACTCCTTTCTTTTGTGCAAAGTCACCTATTTTTACACTCAAAGCAAATTATGCACTTAGTGTATACCTGTTTGATATTCATGTGCCCATCATTATAAACATTAAAAATAACGAGAGGGGAAAAGAAGGGGGAAAAAAAGGAGAAAAATGCGGGTATTATCTGCAAAACAATTTTTTTTTTGCAGGCACCACAACAAAATTAAAAGTCAAGAAAACTGTATTGTATTTGTTGCTAGCTGGCGCTCTTCTCTTTACAAGCAGGAGCGATCTACCCTGGATGGTAAGTGCGATTTGTTGTCAATTTATTGAATTTTCAGGTCGTAATTATCATCATTTTTCTTTTTGCACCGACAGGATTCAACTTAGGAGTGTGAAATATATTGGGTGGATTCAGCGTGTATTTTAGTGAATTGAATAGTGTGCAATGATGCGAAAATGGATTGTGGTATGCTCATTTCTTGACTATGTAGTCCCACTCATACGATGTTATGTCTTGTTATCCGCCGAATTAAGGTAAAATTGCACTGGCGCGCGTCGGAGAAAATGAGAGGGAAAGGGAAGAAAGAAAGAAAAAAAGGAAAAGAAAGGAAAGAGAAGAGAAGAAAAAAAGAAAAAGAGGAAGGAAAGGAAAGAAAGGAAAACAAAGGAAAGAAAAGGAGAAAAGGAAAAGAAAAGAAAAGAAAAGAGAAAATGAAATGAAAGAAGGGGGGGGGGGGGCGATAGAGAGGAGAGAGAGGGGGTGGGGGAGTAAGAGCATAAGAGAGGAAGGTTGGGAATAATAGAGAGGGCCCGGGATGTAGGGTGTTGTCGTCTCGTCGAGGGAACGAAAAAGATACGCATATATATAATACGTTGCTGTGTAGGGTCGGCTGTGTTGGTATTCTCGCTCTAAATGTTCACAAATGTGACAAAAAATTACTTGATACAAGTTAAACGTGGACTGAATGAACCCTAACAAATCATTTTATAATGAGAATCCTAATTAAAATCACCCAGAAACGATTGCAGCACGAATACGAGCGGCCGCTGTCTCCTACTCCTAGCGCCACCGCTTTTCATGACTTTGAAATTAATAATATTGGTCTAAGAGCAGAGGCAAAACATGCGGGCCGCCATCTTGGATTATAATGCATACCATACCTACATTATAATTTTTCGCCTATCGCATGCCCTTCCAGTGTGATGGTATCTTCAAAAAGCCAAATGAAAAATAAACACCGGACCTGCTAACACCATCGTGTGTTGCACCGCAATTCAGCTGCCCTCGTACTCATTGACTACAATTATGCGATGTTTTAAATAATGGATTTTTCTGATAAAATTGGTAAATATATTTAACAAATCATTTTTTTTCTTTTTCTAATTACTATTATTTTTTTTTTTTTTAAGTGACAGATCAGCCATTCTCAATGATTGAATGCGTTTTTATTCAAAGCATCATGATTGCAATAACATTTTATAGGGAAAATGACAAAAACATAATACAGGCAAAATCTGTTTTTTCACAAAAAAATATCCTTTTTCAAGCTGAATAATATGTTTTTTGAAAGTAACAGGTTGGCAGCTCTGCATTGTCATTATAGATGGTTTTTCTTAAATATTTTTTTTTATAAAAATAATTTAATTCCCCCCTTCCTAACATTTTTCAATTTTTGACATTTTTTTAATGGCATGAAAATAATTTTAAACATGAACTACAACAACTACAAATGACAGATTTTATCAAAGGTATGAGTGATTTAATTATAGAGTGCTCAAAATTTAAACTAGAAATTAAACTACTGTATGTATAAATAGAAGGTAACAGTTAACAAATAATTTAAAGGTACTATGTCCCTTTTGCAGCCAACCTCAAATGCTGTAGAACTTTGCAGGAATTATGAATATGTCATGTATGTCCTATCTGTGAAATTTAAACGTTAGCAGTGTCCTCATGTTCAAATTATGCAAGGAAACCCGTTTACTTGCTAGACTTCACTGTCAGACACTATTGAGTGACTGACTGGCCTTTTTCTTCTTTGGTAGTAATATACATGAAAATAGTTGTAAAGGATACATGAGCATTTGTCTACATCAATAACCCACTTCTTGTGATGGCCAAGATTAAACTGATTGAATCAAGCTTTGCGCAGCATAAAACGTATGACCTTTCGGTACAATTGTCTGAAAATCAAGACTATTACTTTTGGGCTCTATAGCCCTAAAGTCGATTTGACAACTAATAGTCGTTATTTTCCCACTTGAAGACGTTTTCAAACCCCAACTTTTTTAGGGAAGTTTTAAATTAGTATTATCTTTCAAATACAGTTGGAATTTAACTTTTTCATTTTTTTGGCCTGCAAATGGGACATAGTCCCTTTAAAAGAATACATATTTTCATCAATTTTGGAAATGGCTCCTGGTCCTTGAAAACGGCTCCCGGTTCTCTAAAAAAAATAAGGACCGGAGCCGCTTTTTCAGATATTTGGCTCCCGGTCTGCTTTGACTTTAATAACAAAAGTCTTGATTGGATTCATGTACATGTACATGTACATGTCATTGGCAGAACTACATGTATGTGATCTATTCAAATTGCCACTGGTAAACTTGTGTTAAAACAAGTCAACACTGTACTTTTTAAAAGTATTTTCTTTCTAAAGAATGGTCCATAGGTATTAAGGCTGCGACGTGTAGTCGAATGCTCGAGTACCCGCATGGTTAACAACTACTCGGGTACGATTTCTCGTACCCGAATATTCGGCCGCAAAAAAAAAAAAAAAAATTAATTTTTAAAAAAAAATTTAAAAATGTCCAGGCCCACGCTTACCCGTGGCATGGTACCGTCGGTAAAAATGTTTCCCAACTCAAGCACTGTCAAACTCACCTTTCAGAAACTGGGACCAAATGTCCAGATTTCTGTTTGGACTTGGAGGAAAATGAATTATTCTGCCATCTTTGGCTTTTAAAACAGCATTGTTTACTGTTAATATTCTTATTAAATCGGCGCCTTCAACTGCAACTCAAAGTAAAATTGCATGCGTTTTCGGCGAGGGACCTGGGAAACTGCCGAGTGGTATGGAAGTGGCAAAAAAAAAATTAAAAATTTAAAAAAATCGAAAAAATTCAAAAAAAATCAAAAAATTCAAAGAAATTATTAAAAAACATGGCGTCCGAATATTCAAGTATTCACTTGTGAGCCTGGGAGTGTACTCGGGTACCTCATTACACTGTTGTGCACAGCCTTATCATCAATAGACCATTTTCGTAATGTAACCAAATGTAATGCATAAATCTTAATCAAGTACCATGTTACAAAAAACGGCTTGTCCTACCTGACAACACCGATTGTCTAGAATTTGCATTCTGACTTTTGAAATACAATCATTCATAACAGGTGGATGACAAAAATGGAAAGAGGCACTTAACAAACCTTGTTCATTAAAGTTTATTACAATACGAAAATGGTTTATGGCATACATTATATGTGCCAACAGTCACTCTCGCACTCGATTGTATGCTGGTAGTTTGCCATTTTATGAACACCAAACTATTGAGGCATTCATGATGCATCTATACTAAGTCATTGGCTTTTCTCTGTGAATGAAGATTTTATGTTATGTTATTTTATGTATTCTGTCTCTTTACTGTATGACAAGTTTATTTTACACATATACTGTACGTGTACTTGTACATTTACCTCATAATGTTGCAAGCTGAAAAATTTTACATGGAAAAGCTAGTCTTCCCTGTAATAATATTGGTTTTTGCATGTTTCATAATTGTGTATCATTGATGAATAAATACCCCATTTCCCATGCTGATAAATGATGTATCTGATCTACATGTATACAAAATAATACAAGTACTACAAAAATCCAGGAAGCGTACAGTGTACATGTGTTAAGCAAGGATACAGCATTATAACAGCAAAACTGTCGTCTCATTTTGAGTACGTTTCAAGTTCAAACATATTCAAGAAGAATGTATGAAATTTTCCAACATTAAAATCAAGAGAAGACCTGTTATATTGCTAACGATATGTCATACAAATAGCAGAGATAGTAACAACACACAGTCAGTAACAACACACAAGTACTGTGTGTACCACAGTGCACAGTGCTATCCCCTTATCTTTTTGAGAGCAATCGGATGTGAGTGCATCATATTTCATTCTCTTTAATTGCCACTCTGTTGATCATCGAGGGTCATGCGTCTTGAGCCCTGGGTCAAGTGCAGAGTAACTTGAGATGCCTCTGATACTTGATGGGTTGGAGGTACTGGGTGCAGGGGGAGAATGAGAGAGGGGAAGAGAAAGGGAGAGAGAGAGAGAGAGAGAGAGAGAGAGAAAGAGGGGAGACAGAGAGAGAAAGAGGGGGGGGGGAGAGAGAGAGAGACGGAGAGGGAGAGACAGAGAGAGGCAAACTGAGAAGGGGTAGAGGAAGATAAAGGGAGAGGATGGGGAATGAGAGGGGTATAGAGAAAGAGAGAAGGGAAATTTAGAAAGAGAGGGAGGGAGGGAGGGAGGGAAGGAGGAGAGAAAGTAGAGAGATACCCGGTAGAGATGATAGTGAATACTAAACATACATGTATGTATGAAGAAAAGTAGATGAAGAGAAAGGGAGAACTATTGATATAAAAGAAGAACAAAATCAGAAAAAAGAGTGATAGAGAGAGAAATAGGTGGAATGAGATAGAGGGAGAAAAAGATATATGGAGAAGTCAAAGAAGGAGAGGGGGAGAGAGAGAGAGAGAGAAGGAAGAAGGAGACGAGGAGAAGAGTGAGGACAGGGAAAGAGAAAAGGAGAGGGGCAAGAGTGTTCCAGGGATCTATTGACATGCATGTGTACATGTATCCATGGAGACAAGTAGAGCTGATAAATGTACTTGTCACATGTAATGGGATAGATTAAACATTCATAAGGCATAATTACATCACAGAATACATGTACCTGCTCTTTCACAGAAAGCTCCTTGCATGTACATGTAAAACACTATAAAAATTGAAGAAAAGAGAGTTGGCGAGAGATATGACAAGAAAAAGGGAGAGAGAGAGAGAGATCAATTGTATTTAGAAATATGTGCATTGAAAGCACTTCTAGGGGAAAATAGATATAGGGAGAAGAGAGTAGGGATGGAGTGGGGTGGGGGGGGGGGGGGGGGGGGGGGGGGGGGGATAGGGGATAAATGGGCTAAGACAGACATTGACAGATAGACTGATAGAGCATATACATGTACACTAGACACGGGAAGTCTGGTGGAGCACAGGTCCAGCAGTTGATAAGGAACCTGTTTTATGGGAGT